CCTCTCTTCTCGTTAACCCAGAGTCTGATTTTACTCTCGTCTCGTTGTGTTGAACGTCGTCGTGGATAAATCCGAGTTCGTTTTTCCGACATCCGCTCTGAATTTGTTCCATTGCAACAGTCGAGAAAGTTTCACGTCAGACTGACTCGTGTGTGTGTGGCGAACTCTCTGAGCGCTGAACCCGCCGAACTCGCCCCAGTTTGTTCCAGAAGCTTGTTTGTTTGGTCGTTCCTCGAGGTGGAGGTCGGTTTAAGTTGAGCTTCGGCGCCGGATTTGGATCAGACCTGGTTTAACCTTGAGTTTCACTTCCTGTTTAAAGTTCATGATGAACTCTGACCCACTTCCTGTTTCCAGGAGTGTCCTCCCAGGGTCGAGGCGCAAACCGCAACCGCTGGACCGCAGGTGAGTGTACCACAACTGTACCACACACCTGTTCACACACACACCTGTACACACACCTGTACACACACACACACACCTGTACACACACCTGTACACACACCTGTACACACACCTGTACACACACACACACACACTGTACACACACACACACTGTACACACACCTGTACACACACACACACTGTACACACACCTGTACACACACACACCTGTACACACACACACACACACACACTGTACACACACACCTGTACACACACCTGTACACACACACACACCTGTACACACACCTGTACACACACACACCTGTACACACACACACACACACACCTGTACACACACACACACACACTGTACACACACACACACACACACACCTGTACACACACACACACACACACACACACACACACCTGTACACACACACACACACACACTGTACACACACCTGTACACACACACACTGTACACACACACAACTGTACACACACCTGTACACACACACACCTGTACACACACACACACACACACACACTGTACACACACACACACACACACACACACACACACTGTACACACACACACACACACACACACACCTGTACACACACACACACACACACACACACTGTACACACACACACACACACACCTTACACACACACACACACACACACACACACTGTACACACACACACACACACACTGTACACACACACACACACCTGTACACACACACACACACTGTACACACACACACACACACACTGTACACACACACACACACTGTACACACACACACTGTACACACACACACACCTGTACACACACACACACACCTGTACACACACACACACACCTGTACACACACACACACACCTGTACACACATGTACACACACACACACCTGTACACACACATACACACACCTGTACACACACACACACACCTGTACACACACACACACACCTGTACACACACACACTGTACACACACACACACTGTACACACACCTGTACACACACACACACACCTGTACACACACACACACACACACCTGTACACACACACACACACACACACACACACACACACCACACACACCTGTACACACACACACACACACACTGTACACACACTGTACACACACACACACACACTGTACACACACACACACACACACACACTTGTACACACACACACACACACACACACACTTGTACACACACACACTGTACACACACACACACACACACCTGTACACACACACACACACACCTACACCTGTACACACACCTGTACACACACCTGTACACACACACCTGTACACACACCTGTGTACACACACACCTGTACACACACACCTGTACACACACCTGTGTACACACACCTGTACACACACCTGTGTACACACACCTGTGTACACACACCTGTACACACACCTGTTGTGATGTGTAATATTTGTGTGTTTTTCTTCAGCCTTCTTCCTCTTTCTCGCTCTCGCCGCCATTTCCTTCCTGTTGCTCACGGCGCTCGTCTTCATCACCCTGAGACGCAAACGCCCACAGAGAACCCTGTCCATCAGGTAAAGACCGCACCTAGACCTGGTTTAGACCTGGTTTAGTCTCTGTTTTAGTCCCCGGTTTTAGTTTTAGTCCCCAGTTTTAATGCCCGGTTTAGTCTCTGTTTTGGTTCCCGGTTTTAGTCCCTGGTTTTAGTTTTAGTCCCCGGTTTTAGTCCCTGGTTTTAATCCCCGGTTTAGTCCTGTTTTAGTCCCCGGTTTTAGTTTTAGTCCCTGGTTTTAATCCTCGGTTTTAATCCCCAGTTTAGTCCCTGTTTAGTCCCGGTCTTGTCCTGGTTTAGTCAGTCTAGTCATGGTTTAGTCCCGGTCTAGTCCCGGTCTAGTCCTGGTTTAGTCTCACATATTGTCTGTGTTTTTCAGGAGTGATAAACAGGAGCTGTTGACGGACTCTGAGCGCTCGTCTGTGGACTCTCTGCCTCTGCCCGAGAGTCCGGTCCGGCCCTGAAAGTCCGGTCCGGCCCCGAGAGTCCGGTCCGGCCCTGAAAGTCCGGTCCGGCCCTGAGAAACCCCCTGCCTGTGTGTGTGTGTGTTTGTGTGTGTGGGATGTTTAAATTTAACTCCGGATTCTTTTACTCTGAATATTTAACACTTTTACTTTAACTTTTTTGATCATTTATTTTGGATTGATTCTTTCGGTTCGTTTATTTTACTTTTGGTTTTCGAACAGAATCAGAGAAATTCTCCATGTTTAAAATATTCAACACTGGAAAAGGAGTAAAAGTGACTTGACTCCTAGAGTTTTTTTTTTTTTTTTTGCACATTTAAACCCCGTGTGGTTGAAGCAGAGGAGTTTGTGGTGTTTTATTTTTATTTTTATTTTGGCGTACACTTGCTGCTTTTGTTTTGAAAAGCCTGGTTTGAGTTTCTGGGACGATGACGTTTTTAAAAACAACGGTTCACGAAACACACTCCGATGAAAAGCGACGGTTTTTCACAATAATCAATATTTAATCCACTTTTTGTTTTTTCCGAGCCGCGACGTCGACCGAGCGAAAACCGAGAGCGGCTCCAGTCAAACGAGGCTCAGTGAGGTCTGCGGGACAAAAGAGTCAAATAAAGGTCCAGGATCATGTAGAGCGAGTTCTAAGGAAGAGCTTTTTTTTTTCATTAGATTTTGAATTTTAAATCTTGCTGAATTTCTTGCTTTGAATTTTTTTTTTTTTACTTGTAAAAATGTAAACTTGAAATTTAGGCAGCTAAAATTCAGAATAAAAATAATTAAAAAGTATTTTTCCAAAGGGTTTAAAATATAATACAAAAAAAATTAATACTCAGTGCAAATATTTTCAAAATTTTTGACTTGAATTTGAGCGCTTCAAAATATTTTTGGTTTTAGACCTGGTTTAGATTCTGGTTTAGATTCTGGTTTAGATTCGGGTTTAGACCCGAGTTTAGATTCGGGTTTAGATTTGTGTTTAGTTTTGTTTGATTCTTTCATGTTTTGGAGCAGTTTTTTTTATTTTTATTATTATTCCCCTGTAAATAAGGAACCTGAAAATATTTGTGCTGAATATTTAAAAAAAAATTTATTTTTGAAAAAGTACAATAAAATTTGAGCCACTAAAATTCAGAATAAAAATAATTCAAACATGTTTTTCAGAGTTAAAATAAATTCAACATGAAAAATTCAGCAGGATTTAAAACTCAAAATCTGAACGTAAAGCGGAGCCAGTGGAGCCGGAAACGCGCCCGTGCTCACTTCCTGTCTGGAACATGGCGGCGGCGTCCGTTTAAATCCACGGTCTACGGCGGCGACTTACACGACGTAATCTTTGAATGAAACTGATTTGACTGTTACTGAAATCACTGTAGATCAAAATCACACTGGAAATGTTTGAATTTACGAGTTGAAGATATTTCTTTTTTTTTTCTGTATTTTATTGTTTTTATTTTTGTTTTTGAATCACATATTAAAAATTATTATGAAAACTTCACATCAGGACTCGGGCTCATAAAACGACCGAAACGACACGAGGGAAATAAACCGGGAATAAAACACAGAAACATTCACTCAAAACGGAAAACGGAACAAAATTTTAAATAAATAAAATGTTTAAATAAAATGTTTGTTCAAATGTTTCATGAGGCTGCGTCCTGATCGGTTTGAGGCGAAGGATTTGATCAATAAAAATAAAATGTGAAAAATTCTGTTGTCTTTTTGTTTTATTATAAAACAGAGTCCTGGTTTAGTCCTGGTTTAGTCCTGGTGTAGACCAGGTTTAGTCCTGGTTTAGTCCTGGTTTAGACCGGGTTTAGTCCTGGTTAGACCCGGTTTAGTCCTGGTTTAATCCTGGTTTAGCCCGGGTTTAGTCCTGGATCAGTTCTGATTTAGACCTCATTTAGTCCTGGTTTAGTTCTGGTTTAGTCCTGGTGTAGACCGGGTTTAGTCCTGGTGTAGACCGGGTTTAGACCCGGTTTAGTCCTGGTTTAATCCTGGTTTAGTCTGGGTTTAGACCTGGTTTAGTCCTGGTTTAGTTCTGGTTTAGTCCTGGCTCACTCATGGTTTAGTTCTGGTTGTTTTTGTGGGAGGGGGCGGAGCCGGACGGGGGGGGCGGGATATTTAAACCCGACGTCACTTTCCCGCGCCCGACCCGGAAGTCCCCGTCAGAGCCAAAATGGCGGCGTATCGGAGCGGAACCACAGACGCGGAGGGTTTCGGGTAAAAGAAGCGAAAGTTCCGCGTTTTCCTGCGAACCCCGCGCCGCGCCGGACCCGGACCCGCGGGCGCGCACCTCCCCGGACCCGCCGAACCGCGCCTCCGTCCGGACCGCGCTTAAATGACGTGAGTTTTGGACGTTTTTTTACCCCCGAAAGTCACCGCAGCGTGTTAGCATGCTAGGCTAACGTGTCGAGTCACTGCAAAAAAAAATCACAAACACAGACGCGATTTCGGCACGAATCTGAGCGAATCTCCCGGGTTTACGAGCACGAACCCGCCGCGATCTGCACATTTAACGCGTTTTGTTCGGTCACGTCGGTGCTTTTGTTTTGTTTCGTTTTGTGTGGCTGTTTAAAGGACGTGGTGTTTTTCTTCAACAGCAGAAACACATTTTTTGACCCAAACACGTGACTCTGAAACGAGGTAAACACGCGCGATGACAATGACGGAGTGTGTGTCAGCGTGAGTGGCCATGCACACGTGAGGTTTATTATCGGTTTAATTTATTTTGTTGTTTTTGTTCGACGTACTCGGATACAGAGTCAGAAAGACAGAGGACGATCAGGGGCAACAAAAAATACACCAAAACGACACAAAAACACGACACGTACAACACACGGGACTGCAAACAAAAACTACAACTGAAAGAGGAAGGGAAACTAGAACTGCACAAGAGGAACAACGACCAACTACACAAAACTACAACTACACAACAGGGGAAACTACAACTATGACTGCAGGAAAGAGGAAAAACTACAACTATGACTGCAGGAAAGAGGAGGAAAAACTACAACTATGACTGCAGGAAAGAGGAAAAACTACAACTATGACTGCAGGAAAGAGGAGGAAAAACTACAACTATGACTGCAGGAAAGAGGAGGAAAAACTACAACTATGACTGCAGGAAAGAGGAGGAAAAACTACAAATACGACTGCAGGAAAGAGGAGGAAAAACTACAAATACGACTGCAGGAAAGAGGAGGAAAAACTACAACTATGACTGCATTAAAGAGGAAAAACTACAACTATGACTGCATTAAAGAGGAAAAACTACAACTATGACTGTATGAAAGAGGAAAAACTACAAATACAACTGCAGGAAAGAAGTAAAACTACGACTGTATGAAAGAGGGACAAACTACAACTATGTAAAAGCGTGAAAACTACGAAAATGGAACTAGAAGCTAGAACTTTACAAGAGTGAAAACTACAGCTACACAAGAGAGGAACAAACTACGACTACGCAGAAGAGGGAAAAACTACGGCTACGATTAAGGGAAATCTACAGATATGATGGGGGGGGAAAAGTACAACTGTGGGCTAACTACAACTACACACGAGGAAAAACTGCAGATACACGAAAGGGAAAACTACGACTGCATGACAGGGAAAACTACAGCTATGAGTGAGGGAAAACTACGACTACTGCTTCAGGAAAGAAGAAAAACTACTACTACAGTAGAGGGACAAACTACGACTCTGACTGTATGAAAGAGGTGAAAAAAGGACAAACTATGACTTGGCGAAAGTGGGAAAACTACAGTTACAAGAAAGAAGTAAAACTACAACTAAGCGAAAGTGGGACAAACTACAGATATACAAGAGGAAACTATGACTAAGCGAAAGTGGTAAAACTACGACTGTGCGAAAGTGGGACAAACTACGACTACACAAGAGGGAGAAAATACAAGTTTGCGAGAGAAAACTACAACTACACGAGAGAAAAACTACACATTTCCTGTAGATATTGTTTTTATTCGCTTTTTTGTTTTTAATCTGTTTTTTTTGTCTGGAAATATCATTGATAATTTTGTTTATTGTAGTGATAATTTGTTTTTTTGAGTCCATTTTGTTTATTTTGAGTTTTATTTTGTGTATTTGAGGTTTGGCAGCGTGAGGAGAGTCCGTTTGAGGAGGCAGATCTTTGAGAATGAAGCGTTCGTTGTCGTCGTTGAAGAAAAACACGACGTCACTTTCCACGTGAAGTTTATTAAGTCGATTTAAATCAGGACTGAACGGAGACTCGGGCCAAACGGAAGATGACTCAGACTCCGGGACTCTGAAGCGGCTGACTCAGGACTTTCTTTTGACTCGCACCAGATGATTTAAATTTTTTTTCTCAAAAGCAGAAACTCTTCACAGCAGCTCGGCCGGACGAGTCACGCGAAATCACAATCTCACTTGAGCTCGTAATCAAAAAGGTAACTGGATTCATTCGGGTTTTGTTTGTGTAATTGTGAAATGGAGGAATTTTTATGACACAAGTTTCGTCCTGAGTTATTGTGTCATTTAAACAAGTTTTATTCTCATTAAAACGACAATAAAGATCACGGTTAGACACACGTTTATATAAATTTAAAGAAGAGAATGAAGAGTTTGAAAGACGGAGAATAATCCTCGAGTCTGGACTTAACACCACTTTGAAATAACTTGTTTCTTCTACAAACTAAATCTCCAGTGTTTTTCTGTAGGACTGTGCAAAAATATCAAAATATCGATATGTCGCCAAGTCTATTTTTTGACATATTTGACTAAATAATTTTGTTACAGTGCTACAGTTTTGTTGTTTGTTCAAAGGAAATAAACTAATTCATGCGACACATTTGACATTTTCGCCGTTTTCAGGATTTAAATGTTTGTGTTTCATTTGAACTTTGCACAAGACGTGAATTAACCAAGACTTTTAATGTCACAGCCGTGATTTTTATTTTTATTTTTATTGAACCGTATCGAATTGATTTGAAAAATATCATATCGAACCAAAAAAGCACTGTGTCAAGATATGTATCGTATCGTGGCCTACATATCGAGGCTTGTATCGTATCGTGGCCTACGTATCGAGGCTTGTATCGTATCGTGGCCTACGTATCGAGGCTTGTATCGTATCGTGGCCTACGTATCGAGGCTTGTATCGTATCGTGGCCTACGTATCGAGGCTTGTATCGTATCGTGGCCTACGTATCGAGGCTTGTATCGTATCGTGGCCTACGTATCGAGGCTTGTATCGTATCGTGGCCTACGTATCGAGGCTTGTATCGTATCGTGGCCTACGTATCGAGGCTTGTATCGTATCGTGGCCTACGTATCGAGGCTTGTATCGTATCGTGGCCTACGTATCGAGGCTTGTATCGTATCGTGGCCTACGTATCGTATCGGCAGCTTCATAACGATACCAGTTATTCTGTATAAAAAGTGCTGAGCGTGCGGTTTAGATCAGAACAAACCTGCTCTGAAATGTGACTCTTGTGTTTGTTTGTTCTTCATCTCAGCTCAAACACGGTCGTCCAATCAGAGGTGTTTAATTGTGTTATCTTTTTTTTTTTTTTTTGTCACTTCTTTTTTCCAATCCAACTTTATTTGTAGAGCATATTTTACAAACAAAACAGTTTCCAAAGTGCTTCACACAGCAATGCAACATTTTACTTAAAAAAGAAAAAAAAAATCACAGAATTATGTTTAATAAAGACACTAATAGAATAAATAGATAAAAGATAATACAATCAATGACCAAAAATAATTAAATCAATACTTAAAGGCAGTACTAAAAAATGAAATAAATTATTTTATTTTTATTTATTTATTAATCTAAAATATAATATAACTTAAAATATAACATAAAATATAATATTTAAAAAAACACACAACTCACACAGTGTTAAAAGACAGAAAATAAAAATAAAAGTGGGTCTTAAGATGAGACTTAAAACTCAGAGCGTTCCAGAGCGTTCCAGAGCGTTCCAGAGCGTTCCAGAGTTTGGGGCCGGACACGGAGAAGGTCCTGTCCCCTCTGGTTTCTAGTCTCGTCTTAGGCACCAGGAGCTGGACCTGGACCTCGGACCTCAGAGCGCGCGGGGGTGTAAATTTGGATGAGGTCTGAGATGATTTTTATGAAGCGTTTTATACAATAACAAGACGGGCACAGTCGGCAGCAAATCTAACGTACATTTAGATGGAAAAATGTAAATAATATATACGTTCATTCATTTATTTATTTGTTTGAGTCAGGTACAACAAAATTCAAAAACAGTAACAAAAATAGTGATATGTACATGAACATATTTGGGACCTGGGGCTCAAAAGGAGGAGGATGAAGTTTAAAACACTTAGAGTCCTACTCCATTTGTTTTACATAATCACGTGGTTCACACTTACACACACATACACACATCACTCACACACGTCACTCTGGACTCTTATGGTTATAGTTTTGTACCAATAAAACAATAACTGGAGCAGCACCGACTATTAACTAAACTTCACTGTGATATTTAGATCTTTTAGTCCGTCTTACATAATAAACATGAGCCCGAGTCTGTCACATGCTCCGTTTTATGAGTTTCTTCAATAATTTTTAACCAGTTTTGTGGCGTAAGTGGATCTGGGTGGAGATATTTATGTGTAATTGTCTTTTTTTTTTTTTACACAAGATTTTGAATAAATATGTAACATTATTAAAGTAAATCAGATTCATCCTCATGTATACAGAGGTGAGATTCTATTTAAATGAAGTTTGAGTGAATCAGGACCGAACCGAGACTCTGACCGAGCAGAACGTGACTCAGACTCTCGAGCTCCGGGTATAAAAAATGCCGACTCGGGGGTTTGTGATCCAGACAAATGAAGTTTTAAAAGGAGCAGTTTGGACTCAGCAGGTTCTGTTGGATCACACACACTTTATCGATCTGTGTCTGGAACTTTCTCTCAATTCTACATTTCTGAACAGATTTCTTGATTTTTGGTGAATTTTAATGTCACTTTTGGCTCTCGATTTATTGGTTATGATGATGTGTGTGTTTGTTTTGTGCAGCTGGACGTGGCGGAGAGGCGGGTGGAGTGTTTATGATGATGTGTGCGTTTGTTTTGTGCAGCTGGACATGGCGGAGAGGCGGGTGGAGTGTTTATGATGATGTGTGCGTTTGTTTTGTGCAGCTGGACATGGCGGAGAGGCGGGTGGAGTGTTTATGATGATGTGTGCGTTTGTTTTCGTTGGCAGCTGGACATGGCGGAGAGGCGGGTGGAGTGCCAGTGGAAGAGACACGTTTTGGAGCAGCTCAGACTGAGAGATCGAGTCCAGAGACACGCCTTCGAGGAGCTCGTCCACCAGTGTGAGTTTAAAACCTCTGCTCCTGTCGACTCGGACGTTTGTTTATCTCTGTTGTTTTCATTTTGAAAGTGAAAAGTCATGTTTCAGTCATTTCCAGTTTTGTAGATCTGGAGCAGTGTTGGTGGTTTAAATCTGCTCTGGGGTTTGTGTTGGTGACAAACGATAATACTTACATTCCTTTATTGTTTAGATTTATTACTTACATTTAAATATTTCCGTATTTCCTCGAGCTCGGTTTCCGGGAGCCCAGAGCACCGTCGGAACCTCGTCAAGAGCCTGGACGGAGGGAGGGCGCGGTCGGAGGGAGGGCGCGGTCGGAGGCTGGTCGGGGGGGGAGGAGGGGCGCGGTCGGGGGGAGGAGGGCGCGGTCGGGGGGGGAGGAGGGCGCGGTCGGGTCGGGGGGGCGCGGTCGGACGCTCATCAGGTTTGACTAAAGTGACGTGTGTTTTCAGATAACCGTCTCCTGGAAAAGGCCGACCTGCAGGCGGTTCTGTCCGAGCGATACCAGACCGACAAATATGACGCTCCCAGACTCCACGACGGCAGGTGAGGCCCTGCACACAACACGAAGACCGAGGACTTCTTTTTGACTGGACTTATTTTCGACTGAGAGGGACTAAAGTGTTACTCAAACAAATCACAACTCCTGCTCTGTTTTTGAGGAGGAAACATTAGAACATTAGAACTTAAATCTCACAGGAGTCAGTTTGATGTGATGTAGGAGTTTAGTTTTGTGTTTTTTTTAAACTGCCTTTGGCTCAGTAAAAATGTGGCGACTCAAATCAGTGTCTCCGTGTGGCGTTTGTCCAGCGCCGGCGCCGACTCGAGCCGCAGCGACGCCCTCCAACAGGAAATGGCCCAAATGAGAATCAGACACCAGGAAGAACTGACGGAACTGCACAAGAAGAGAGGAGAGGTGACAGATAATACTCCCTACAACTGTATGACAACACACACTTATGTAACAGATAATACTCCCTACAACTGTACAACAACTCAGCCTTATGTAACAGATAAGGGCGAGTTGTAGGGAGTATTATGCAACAGATAATACTCCCTACAACTGTACAACAACTCACCCTTATGTAACAGATAATACTCCCTACAACTGTGTGTTTTTGTGTGTTTTTTCAGTTGGCTCAGAGCGTCATCGATCTGAATAACCAGATCCAGCAGAAGGACCGAGAGATCCAGAGCAACGAGGCAAAGTGCGTCTTTTACTTACGGACAGACGACAAAAACATAAGTTACACACATTTCTGCAGAGACCGCACGATCACGCACCAACGAAAACGAGACGACAAACGGGCAGCGCAACACCACCAACACAAAGACACGACACACAAACAGACAAAACCACCACCACTCTGTCTCTGTACTACATGAGTATAATTTGTGTGAGTGTTTGTGTGATGCAACGATACGGTTTTCCCATGATTCGATACATGTCTCGATACACGGGTCACGATATCGATTCGATTTCGATACGTTTTAAGCCTCAAAAGAAATCTCATGTGATTTTTTTTTTGTTATTTATTTTTTTCTGGTAATGAGTAAAATACAATAACACAATGATGTTAATGAAACGCACAACACACTTCACATTACACACACTGGTGCACGGCTGGAGTTTCCATGTGTTTATTTTTCTTCAGTGAAAATCACACCAAATTTTCTCAGGCTGTTTTATATGATATATGAGAATAAACCAGTCGACTCTTCACACAGAGACAGTGCGAGGCTCCTCCCACTCTGCCCCCTCCTCCTAAAGCAGAGACAGTACGAGGCTCCTCCCACTCTGCCCCCTCCTCCTAAAGCAGAGACGGTACGAGGCTCCTCCCACTCTGCCCCCTCCTCCTAAAGCAGAGACAGTACGAGGCTCCTCCCACTCTGCCCCCTCTTCCTAAAGCAGAGACAGTACGAGGCTCCTCCTCCCTGTGAAGGAAAAATAAAAAGCGAGTGAAAATCAAACTGTTTTGTGTGTTGTGTGTGCAGGATGTTGGAGCACCAGCAGCAGATCAGCACTTTGGAGGGAGACTGTCGAGAGCTCCGGAACACACTACAGGTCTCACACACACACACTCCACACACACACACACACACACACACACACACACACACACACACACACACACACACACACACACACACTACACACACATACACACACACACACACACACACACACTGGAACTTTTCTCTATTCTGTGTTTCATATTTTAATGATGTGATTAAATGTCCCGTATCACACGATTCTCTGACGTGTGTGAGTGAAACAAAACACAACTCCAGCTGCGTCTGCGGTGAGGAAACTCACAGCGTCAGGAGTCAGGAGTCGGTTCCGTTTTGTGTCTTGTAAATATACAGTGTTTGTTTGAGGTCAGAAGGTCGATGATGTGAAGTGTAAAAGGTCTGAGCTGCTCGTGCTCCTCTGCAGCGCCTCAAACTCCCATGAGCCTTTGCTCTGCTCCCAGCGTGCTCCAGCGCCGCTCGCTGGCTCAGGGCGCGCTCACAGCAACAGGAAGTGACGTCACGGCACGCGGGGCCTGTACCCAGCTCCTATAGGCTTCGCCGTGATGAGGTCGCTCCCCACAGACCAATCAGAGCGGAGGGAGAGGCCGAGGGGCGGGGCAGACGCTGATCTCAAGTTTTCAAGCTGAGACCTTTGAGATTTAGCACAGGTTAAGTTCTAAAGCAGATGTAGAGACACAGCCGCGATATAACGAGATACAAGTGTGATTTTACCACAATATTACTATGATATTACTACAATACACCTGACCTCTGACCTCTGGCAGGTTCCTCAAACATGAATCAGTCCAAATAAACATCAGAGGGTCAGTGAAGAGAAACAACTAGAACATGAGAAACATCTGAGGAGAACAGTTTAGAGAACAGCTTTGATTTTCACATTGTTTTCTCACCTGTCGGTCTCACCTGTCGGTCTCACCTGTCGGTCTCACCTGTCGTCGGCAGGAGCTGGAGCGGGCGAATCAGACTCTGAAGGACGAGTACGACGCTCTGCAGATCACCTTCAGCGCTCTGGAGGAGAAACTGAGGAAGACCTCAGAGGACAACCAGGAGCTGGTGTCCAGGTGGATGGCTGAGAAAGCCCAGGAGGCCAACAGGCTGAACGCCGAGAACGAGAAGGACACCAGGTACGGAAAGTACTACTGCTACTGCAACTGCAACTACTACTGCTACTGCAAGTACTACTGCTGCACATAGTGCTACTGGGGCTGACAGGTCCAGTGCAGACACCAGGTCGTACTGTTAGAAATGCAGCTGCCGGTCAAACTGTTAAAAGGCTGAGTAATGTGAATTTGTCGTTGGGACGACTGTGGAGTCGTGAGTGTGAGTGTGTGTGTGTGTGTGTGTGAGGACGACTGTGGACTCGTGTTTGTGTCTGACTCAGATTTGTGTTTCAGACGGAGACAGGCCAAACTACAGAAGGAGCTCGCAGACGCCGCCAAAGAACCTCTGCCCCTCGACCCGTAAGTGTGTGTGTGTGTGTGTGTCTGATACAGGTGTGTGTGTCTGATACAGGGGTGTGTGTGTGTGTGTGTGTGTGTGTCTGATACAGGGGTGTGTGTGTGTGTGTCTGATACAGGGGTGTGTGTGTGTGTGTGTGTGTGTGTCTGATACAGGGGTGTGTGTGTGTGTGTGTGTGTGTCTGATACAGGTGTGTGTGTCTGATACAGGGGTGTGTGTGTGTGTGTGTGTCTGATACAGGGGTGTGTGTGTGTGTGTGTGTGTGTGTCTGATACAGGGGTGTGTGTGTGTGTGTGTCAGGGGTGTGTGTGTGTGTGTGTGTCTGATACAGGTGTGTGTGTGTGTGTGTGTGCTGATGTGTGTTGTCTGATACAGGGTGTGTGTCTGTGTGTGTGTGTGTGTGTGTCTGATACAGGGGTGTGTGTCTGTGTGTGTGTGTGTCTGATACAGGGGTGTGTGTCTGATACAGGGGTGTGTGTGTGTGTGTCTGTGTGTGTGTCTGATACAGGGTGTGTGTCTGTGTGTGTGTGTGTGTCTGATACAGGCGTGTGTGTGTGTGTGTGTGCTGTATGTGTGTGTGTACAGTGTGTGTGTCTGATACAGGTGTGTGTGTCTGATACAGTGTGTGTGTGTGTGTCTGTGTCTGTGTGTGTGTGTGTGTCTGATACAGGCTTCTGTATGAAAGTCTAGTTTATTTAGATGAATGTCACCGCGTTTCACTGCACAGAACTTTGAGTTGTTTGGTCCTGGACTCTTGTGAGGAGCTCAGAGTCCAGGTTCTGACTCCACAGGACACACACACACACACACACACACACACACACACTCACACTCACACATTCTCTGAGGGAATGTTAAAGCTACACAGTGTCACTTTTTTCACCTGCTTGTTTCTATGGAGATGACTTTAAACACTCCACTTTATATTTATTCCATTACAGGTGCAGGTTTTATGTCTCAAAAATCCCTAGAAAAACAGACGTTCTGAGTCTCCGTGGAGAAAAGTGACACAGTGCAGCTTTGACTCTAAAAGTGACGTGTGTTTTTATTTTATTTATCGTTTTATTTGCAGAGACGACGACATTGAGGTTTTGGCCGAAGACTCGAGTAAAGGAGGAAGTGGAGGAGGAAGTGGAGGAGGAGGAGGAGAGACGTCGCCGCACCGAGCGCTCACCCGGACGTCCAGGTCAGTCCTCAGTCCAGACCGACCCTGACCCCTGACCCCTGACCCCTGACCCAGCTCCGACACACCATCACCACACGAAGCTCATTAGAAATAATCGGCCGCCGTGTTCAAACAGGAAGTGTTCACGGACGCGTTTGGGCTCCACTTGAGTTTGTGTGTAAAAGTGTGGTTCCTCACTCTGACCTTTGACCTTTGACCCCGCTCTACATGATCCTGGGGTTTGGACTTGAGCATTTTGTCCTCGACTCTTTCGCCCATGAAGACGACATTTGACGTCCCTCTGTTTCCTTAATGACGACTTCTGACTCCTCCGCTGTTTCACTAAAGACGTGATTTGACGACCTTTAGAAACGACTCAGTTTTTCACATTTAAACAGAGACTGTGATTGGTCGGGGCCACTACACCCCACACTAGACTGACCAATAGGATTCAAGGAGATGTTTTTGCCGATTTTTTTCCGAAGTTAATCAAAGTAGTGACGATGGAGCTTCCGGAAAAAACACAACACGAAACACGAGCAATGGAAAGATCGCGGCGCTGCGGCGCAGTTTTAGAAATAATGAGGAGCGGACGTGTTTTATGGATAAGTTTAGAGAAAGTGACTTTTATTGATTTCAAAGTGATGATGAGGGTGATTATAAAGTGGAAAACGGCGACAGCGACGGAATTTCAGAGTGAAACTTACGAAGGTGAGAATGTTGCTGATGCGTCAGTCCTGCGATGTCCAAACTATCAGGACTTTATACTCGATTATGAACCAAATTACCCCGAAATCTGGATGTTGCTCAGGCGAGACTTGAAATATTTCAGTCTGCGATGTTTGACAGAACTGTTTTTTGGAATTCCGAATTGGTGTTTCCGCGTTAAACTGGTGAAATGTTCTTTATTTATGTGTGTCAGCGTCTGGGGGTGGGGAAGGTTCTGATTGGACAGAGACACCAGCGGATTTACTGGGGGTGTAACGATATCCAAGTCTCACGATACGATATCGTCACGGTCTGAACCTCGCAGTACGATATTTATTGTGATCGGTCTCGTCTCGGTCTTATCTCGGTCACGACCCTCAAAGGTCTCGGTCTTGTCTCAGGTTCGAACCTCAGAGGTCCTGGTCTCGTCTCAGGTCTCGGGACTCTGTGGTCTTGGACTGGTCTTGGTCTTGACTACTACACTGGTGCAGATCCTGGTGAATCGCACCTCGCGCTCCCGTCTCACCTTTTTCGTGCCTGATGAGTGTGTACGAGTACCAACAGCTGGCATGTTAACGCACACTTCCTGATCATAAAGACGTTTATTGTCCGATAATGAGACGCAGACAGAACACGGTGGACTTACAGTGTCCTGAAGAGCTGCTCGTCCACCTGAACTCTGAATCAAACACAGATACAGGGAGAGAGTGTGTTTGTGTGTGTGTGTGTTTTGACGCCCTCTAGTGTCCGTTTAGTCAAAGTGTTTATTGACGTTGATATTGAAAGTATTTTAGGAGCTGGTTTAGTCACATTTTTAATCTCAAGGAAGTGAAAATTGCAGCAGTAAAGTCTGTCCGTTCAACGATTACAGACGCGTCACTGAACCTCTGACAAAAAACAACAACAATAATATAATAATAATAATGTTTCGACGTTTCTCCTCAAAGTAAGTCCTCTCTTGTTATTTTTACTGGTCAGAATTTAAAAGTGCAGTGTGTGTGTGTTTTCTGGTGGAGTGTCTCTTTACATGAGTATGTGTTTGGTTTTCCAAGAATGTTCCCTAGTGCGGCATTAAAGTCATGTACGTCGCGCTGGTTTGAATCGTCAGCGTGGAATTGCTCATGAATGCCTTTTTTGAAGCGTGCGTTTGGCTCGCCTCTCCACAGACCTGAGCTGTTACTTGGCCTGGCGTTGGCACGTACTTATTGTGTTTATCTGGAAGACCCTCCGCCTGAAAAGTTCCACACTGCACCTTTTTGTGTAATGTGTAAAGAGCTCGTGTCGTGTTTTTCCTCGTCACAAACTTTATTTCTCCACAAGGGAAACGATTTGGACCTGGAGTTGTTTTTGTTTAACTCACATTTGTTTGGACACTAAGTGGTTAAACAGGAAGAGCTCCACTGTGTTTTTAAACTCCATTAAGCCTCACGTGGATTATTTCAGTCCTGGAGTTGACAGTTATTGTTTTAGCCTCGTTGAAACTGCTTCACTGTGCCTATGACTCTGAAATATCGATATATCGACGTATCGTTTAATGCCGGGGTCTCCAACCTGAGGCTCGGGAGTTCCCAGTTGCTCCACCCCCTTCCGAAGAAGCTCCCTAAATGATTCTGGAATTACACCATTGTGCTGAATAATGCAAATTTGGTTAATTAAATGCTTATTACTAGGGCTGTAACGATATCCAAGTCTCACGATACGATATTTTCATGTTGTACAGCTCACGGTACGATATTTATTGTGATATTTTGTGAACAAACAAAACTCTGCTACTTTTTCCTCTTAAAATGCCTCGACAAAACTTAATCCAAAGACTTAAAAGTGTTAGAACTGTTATTTCTTCTTGTTGTCTGCACTGAAATGTCAGGAGAGTCAAACTCATTTTGTTCCGGGGGCAATATCCAACCTAATTTGATCCAAAGTGTCCGGATCAGAAAACTCATGTCATATAAACCCCAAAAATTACAATAAGTTCAAATATTTGTGCAGAGAAACACAAATCTATTACAGAAATCTTTTTTAATTGATGAACTCTTTCTTTTACTAAATATTAAAACTTTAAGAAAAATGCAATTTCAACACAATATTTAACATTAACTTGTATACAAAAAGGAATAAGTCAATTTTTGTTGTAAAATCCTGCACTCGGCTCCACTTTTCTCATGTTGGACATTTTTCTGATGAGGGAGTCACGGTCAACAGTCAAAACGATCGTCCTTTAAGAGCGTTTGGAAAGAGACAAGTCTTCATTTGTGCTGCTCTGGTGGGAGGGGCCACGTACAGAGACGCTGGAGACGCTGCTGTGATAAACACCACAGAAAATTAACAAGATTTTAATACAAAATAGAATTAAAATATTTTAGTAGAAAATCAGCCGAGGACCAGATTAAAGGTCTTGGAGGGCCGGATCTGGCCCCCGGGCCGTATGTTTGACACCTGTGGTCTATGTACTCTGTGTTTGTTTTTTAGCTGTAACTCTTCATTTAAGCTCAGAGACTTGTAATTATATATCACGGTATTTCAGTTATTGTTTCATCCTGACCTACATCCTATTCACATTATGTCTTTTTGAAGCCAAACTTTGTGCACCAATAACTGAACAGTGGTTTGTTTTATAGGCGTCTGAAGTCCATGTTCAGACTGCAGGGCTTGATGCTCAATTTGGTTTTTGTGAAATAAGATTTTTTTTGTGAGTTCGTGCACATTTCCAGTTAAACGTGACTTGTGTGTGACTCCGTGGAGGACGCGGCATCGAGCAGCTGCAGGTTTTAAATCTGCTGTCAGAACATGAACAGATGATTTGTTTTAATAAGGAGATTGAGAAGGAGGACGAGGTTTTTGGTGGTGGAGTTTTGTAGAAATGAACGTGTGTGTGGACTAGGGATGGGCATGATTAGTCGATTAATTGATAATTGATCATTAAGAATTTCATTGATTCCGTTGATTTTAATGGACAAACTGAATGTATGTGTGTGTGTCGTGACCAAACAGGTGTGTACATGTGTCTCTGCATCAGAAGGAGCGAGACACAAACAGTGGGTCAGTCTGTAACGAACCGAAGCACAAATGTGGATTTAACCAGGATTTGTAGAAGAAATTCCACACTTTCCGTTGCGTTGGGACAAGTGTGAGTCCATGTGCACAGTGGATAAAGCAGCACATATGTTTCTGTGTCCAGTGGGAAAAAGTTTTTCCAGGTGAGAGTCGCTCAATGTGGATGACGAGGCCCCGCCCCCCTCCCCCCGTACGCTGTCCTGGTTTTGACAAACACAAATCTGGTCACACTGACCTGTATTCACCTGAGTCATGTCTTTTAATCCAACACAAGTTGAACCACATCAGCGACACAAGAGCTGGAGTTTTATCTTCACTTAGTTTATGTAAATTAGTGATGTGGTTTTAAGTTTTGTTTCTGTGAGATTTGAACAAAACTGAATTAAACACATTATAATGTCAAACAGCTGATGTGGATCTAGAGTCGTTATGTTTATATGTCATAAAGTTGAATTTATTGATGCAGATTAGTGCAGATAGTAATAATAATAATGATCATTTTAATATAAAAACATTAATGATTCATCGATAATCGATCGTTAATTCTTCCGACGATCGATTAAGAACATTTCATCGAATGCCCGTCCCTAATGTGGAGGGATTGATCTGTGCTTCACTCACACAGTCACACAGTTTTCGTCTGACGAGAAGAACGTTTGTGAACATTTGTGACACGAGGAGGTGGATGAACGTGACCTGGACGTTCAGACTAATGTCACATGTGAAAAAATCAGATCTGCGTGGTTCAGGTCATTAAAAGATCAGATACAGGAGCACAGGGACGAAAAATCAGATTTGGGAAATTTCAGGCTGCAGTCTGAACAGAGACTAACTTTCTTATCTCAATTTCTTGCAACCGCTAAAATGAGCAGCTCTCTGGAATTTTTTGCTTTTGTAAAGGGAGTTCAGCGGAGGAAAAAGGTCGGGGACTCCTGCTTTAACGTGATGAAACAGTATCGATATCGTGGGCTTCGGTTTCGATGCACAGAAGCTCCAGTTTTGTTTCTTGTTGAGACGAAGGAAACTTTTATTTGACATTTTCACTGTTTTGAGGATTTATATGTTTGTGTTTCATTTGAACTTTACACAAGAAGAAGTGGTTTAACAAAGACTTTTAGTGTGACAGACATGATTTAGACTTTATTTTTTGATTATTTTAAATATATCGTATCAAATTGAAAGTGCACTGTATCCTTTTGGCAGTTTCTTAATGATACCAGTTTGAATTTGTGATTTTAAAACACAAATACGCCTCACAAATCCTTTTCTGAAGAGTCCGGTTTGCCCATGTGTTGCTGAATAAACCTGCCTGAATATTTCTGGGCTTTGGCAGCACATTTGAGTCGGGTGTAAAATGCCTCTGGGTCATGAGCCGAGTCTCGTGTGAATCAAACCACAAACTCCTGACTTCACCAAACGGCAGGAAACACGATGCCCACACAGTCACAGTCACACAACGAGCTCACAGAAACAAGCAACAAAACAACCCAGGTCAGGAGGCGCTGATCACAACTCAAGTCACAAGTACAAACCAGGACCAGACCGATATGGATTTATTTGTGGCCGATATGATACTGATAAAATGTCAGTAGGAGCTGTTGATATAATCTTCGATAGATTTAGTGATGTAAAAATTCACGGTAAATGTTGAGTTGTTTAAAAAACTTCGGTTTGTCTCTGGTGGATTTTAAATTGTTTATTTAGGAAACATTTGTTGTTCTTGTGCCTCTTTAGGTTGGCAAAGTTTCTACCTGTTTTAGCTCTGTGTCGTGTCTGTGTTGTAGTTACCGTGGCAACCGCCGTAAATCTCCAGGATGCTCTTGATTCCTCATGTGCACAGAGACAAGAGTGTCCTGGTTTCTCCGAGCGCAGGGAAACACCAGATCCAGAAAACTGTCAGGTCCAGGAGGAGGCTCGCGTCCCGGGAGGAGGCTCGCGTCCCGGGAGGAGGCTCGCGTCCCGGGAGGAGGCTCGCGTCCCGGGAGGAGGCTCGCGTCCCGGGAGGAGGCTCGCGTCCCGGGAGGAGGCTCATAACCCGGGGTGTGAGGCGCGTAAACCGGGATAAGACTCGTATCCAGGATAACTTATAAAAGGGATGAGACTGGTGTCTGGGATGAGACTCTTAAACTGGGAGAAGGCTCGTATCTGAGGTGAAGCTCATAAACCGGGATGAAACTCATATCCCGGGATGAGGCTCTTAACTGGGATAAGACTCGTATCCGGGACGGGGTTCGTGTCCCGGGACAAACTGCTCGTGTCCCTGAGGCACTGACGCCCTGTGTTTGTTTTTCCTGGTCTTTTCCCGATCCAGACGTATAAGCGGCTCTCGAGTCAAAGTCCACTGTGTCCTGTCCACATCGAGTTATAAAGCATGTTCTTGTCCAAGAGTCAGGGAGTGCGCTGTTTGCATGGTAGTTGTTGATTTTACTGTAACCGTGATGAGTTTAAGGACTGATTTTTCACATTTGTAACACTGAACATGAATTTATTAGAAGACTTTAAATTTAAACGCTCGCTGTGGTTTGAACATTAACTTCACGAAGGAACTGCACTTTCCTGAGCTGTTTTTTTTTTTTTTTTTTTTTTTTTTGAGGAAGTTGTCAAATAAAAGTGTTCAGATTTCACCCAGAGCTCATCTTTTTTGGAGAAGTGCGGCTCTGACTCGGAGCTGAACTGTCAGTCCCACCACGGCCCACGCTCCTCTGCTGCTCTGTCGCCTTTTAAAAATCTGTAAAACTCCAGAGTGTGTCTTTATTTACGCCATGTCTTTGTTCCGCAGCAGTAAGAAGCAGACGCCGGCGCCCCCTGGAGGACTCCTCGACTCCATCTCCAACATTTTCGGGTGAGTTAAAGCCACAGTACGGGGCTTTTTAGGCGGGGTCTTTCCACCGGGGACTTGCCGTTGCTTTGCCTGGGATGTTCCGCAGTGTAGCATTAAAGCGGCCCGTCTTTAATCTATTCAATCACTTAGTTTTGTTTGTTTTTTGATGTTTTTGACGAGGCAAAACTAAATCATCTCCAGCTCACTTTTTTTTCTTTTTTTTTGGGGGGGGGCTTTGGTTTTTGTGTTTTATTATGGGCTCATTTTGACTTGATTGGCAGGGGCTGGCAGGGGCTGGCAGGGGCTGACAGGGGCTGACAGGGCACCTACAACTTTCAAAATTGTCTCTTTGTGGTGATTTTTATCTATTTTTTTAGATTGTAAGAATTTTTTCAGCTCAAAATCCTTCAGTTGTTCAATTTAGTCCTTGGTTCAGTCCTAGTTTAGTCCTGGTTTAGTCTTAGTTGAGACCTGGTTCAGTCCTCGGTTCAGTCCTCGGTTCAGTCCTGGTTTAGACCTTGGTTTAGACCTTGGTTTAGACCTTGGTTTAGTCCTGGTGGTTTAGACCTGGTTTAGTCCTGGTTGAGACCTAGTTTTAGACCTGGTTTAGTCCTTGGTTTAGTCCTTGGTTTAGACCTGGTTTATTTCTTTCTCTGGGATGTTTCACAGTCAGTGTTTGTTTTTCTCTGTGTTTTTGAAATATAAAACCAGCTGTGGTTGAATAAATATAAAGTGGAGCTGTTTAAAGTCACACTGTGGAACATTCCGGACAGAGTAATGACGTCTCCATAGAAACAAGGTGACAAAACCCAAACCACAAAGTTATTTACTAAAGCCAGTGGTTTGAGTGACAGTCGCTGGTGGGATTTGGAGGATGTTTGGTTATTTTTTTTTTAAGTTCAGTATGAATGTTTTTTTCCCCACATATTTCACATTTGTCTCCTCATGTCTCTGTCTCTGTCCTCGTGTGTGTGTGTGTCCTCACGTGTGTCCTGTCCTCACGTGTGTGTGTCCTCACGTGTGTGTGTCCTCGTGTGTGTGTGTGTCCTCGTGTGTGTGTCCTCGTGTGTGTACGTGTGTGTGTGTGTCCTCACGTGTGTGTGTCCTCACGTGTGTGTGTGTGTCCTCGTGTGTGTCCTCACGTGTGTGTGTGTGTGTGTGTCCTCACGTGTGTGTGTGTGTGTGTGTGTGTGTGTCCTCACGTGTGTGTGTGTCCTCGTGTGTGTGTGTGTGTGTGTGTGTGTCCTCGTGTGTGTGTGTGTGTGTGTGTGTGTGTGTGTGTCCTCACGTGTGTGTGTGTGTGTGTGTGTCCTCACGTGTGTGTGTGTCCTCGTGTGTGTGTGTCCTCACGTGTGTGTGTGTCCTCGTGTGTGTGTGTGTCCTCACGTGTGTGTGTGTGTGTGTGTCCTCACGTGTGTGTGTGTGTGTGTCCTCACGTGTGTGTCTGTTCTCTCGTCTGTTTCTCATTTGTCTCCAGCGTCTCTGAGTGTGGACGTCCTCCTCTGCACAGGTGACGGTTCTTCTCCCTCTGATTAAACAAACACATCACACTTTTCTGATCCGTGAATCTGTGTCGTTCGTTCATTTGGTTTTCAAAATAAAACCAAAAACAAGAAAAGTAAAACAACTATTTTCTTGAAAAAACAGATAATGATTTGATTTTTCAATTTAAACCTGAAAAATGGAAAAAACTGATAATGGACTGGACCAGAATTAAACCATTTTCAGTCCTTGTCTGGTCCTGGTCTCCATCTGGTCCCAGACTCGGTCTGAGTTCCCGGTTCTCGGTCTCTGTCCCCGATCTCAGGTCCTGGTTCTGAGTCCTGTTCCTGTTCTCAATTCTGGTCCCTGTCTGGTCCTGGTCTCAGTTCCCAGTCCTGTTCCCAGTCTCTGTTCCCCGGTCTCCATCTGATCCCGGACTCAGTTTCAGGTCCCCGGTTCTGAGTCCTGTTCCTGGTCTCAGTTCCCAGTCCTGTAAATGATCTCAGTCCTGGTGTTGGTCTGGTCCCGGTCTGGTCTCAGTCCTGGTCTCCGTTATCAGTTTTCTGCATTATTCATTTAAACTTGTCAAAATCTTTAATCTTTTTTTTTTTTTTTTTTGGTTTTGGACACAAATAGTGAAGAAAATATTATTTTTTTTCTTATTTTCTAACGAATAAACAAACGACACGTAGTTTTCTGTAATAATCCTCAGTTCTGTGTGATATTGGACCTTTTTAAATTTTAACAAACTTTTTTAACATGATCTTTGACTAAATTTAAATGAGACTGACTCTTGTTGGTGATCCTCCCCACAGTGACTCCTCCTGTTAACTGTCTGTACACTGCTCCCTACAAGTGTAAAACGATGCTACACTCAGATCTGACCCTGTGTCTCTGTGGACATGTTTATATGATGGTTTTAAATTCTGAATTAAAATCTTCTCCTTGGAGTTTACAGATCAAGGTTCATGTGGAAAACTCTTTAAATCGATCGTATTTATGACTTCGGGAAGAAAACACAAACTTCAGCTGCTCCCGGGACTAAACCAGGTCTAAAACCAGGTCTAAAACCAGGTCTAAAACCAGGTCTAAAACTAAAACCAGGTCTAAACCAGGACTAAAACCAGGACTAAAACCAGGACTAAAACCAGGACTAAAACCAGGACTAAAACCAGGACTAAAACTAAAACCAGGACTAAAACCAGGACTAAAACCAGGACTAAAACCAGGACTAAAACCAGGACTAAAACCAGGACTATGTAAGGTCTAAAAACGGGTCTAAACCAGGACTAAACCAGGTCTAAACCAGGACTATATTAGGTCTAAAAGCAGGTCTAAACCAGGTCTAAACCAGGTCTAAACCAGGTCTAAACCAGGTCTAAACCAGGACTAAACCAGGACTAAACCAGGACTAAAACCAGGACTAAACCAGGACTAAACCAGGAAACTAAACCAGGACTGGACTAAACCAGGAAATATACAAGAAAACAAAAGAATGACAAGAATAAACGAGAAACATGATCCAGGAAGAAAATCATTCAGTTTTAAAATTAGAATAAACCAAACACTAACTTCACTATTCAGTTTAAATCAGAAGCTGAATTTATTTTTATTCAGAATTAAATCATTTTTGTTCATGTAAACGTGTCAGTGAAGCTCAGAACCTCCAAAATCCCCTCTTCCCTGAGCTGCAGAGGCCGCACTAGCACTGACCCGGGATCAGCTGCAGAGGCCGCACTAGCACTGACCCGGGATCAGCTGCAGAGGCCGCACTAGCACGGACCCGGGATCAGCTGCAGAGGCCGCACTAGCACTGACCCGGGATCAGCTGCAGAGGCCGCACTAGCACTGACCCGGGATCAGCTGCAGGAGCTCGGGTTCAGGGAGACACTGTTCAGATCAGAGACGTGTTTTAGGTTTAAACACTCTGGATCTGAGCTTTAAACCTGCGACCCACATGAGGGAGTCATGTGACGCTCATTCTGTGTTCTGATTGGACGGTCGTCAGAAACCAAAACACCAAATTACAACATAAACAAACGACATATCCAGAGTTTTTGTGATTTAAGAATAAACTGACATTAGAACAGTCACATCCTCCTCCTCCTCCTCCTCCCCTGTTTATCTGTCAATCATTTTCACTTTGATTTAAAAAAATTTTTTAAACTTGTTTTCGTCCAATCACAGACGTGTATTTTTCTTCTTCTGTGGTTTTTAGGCGCAGACACACAAACTCTCTCAGCTCTCCGCCCGAGGACACAGAGACCCCTGCTGGTGTGTGTGCGGAAGTGCGCGTCCCCAAGACCGCCCTGCACGTGTTCGTGAGTACAACGCAAGGCCCCGGGGTCCAAAATGGCCGCCCATTTAAATCAATGGGCCGAGCTCAATGTCTCATGATCCCAGATTCTCCTTTAGCCCCGCGACTGTGGGTCGACCGAGCATCTGCAGTAGAGTCTTTTCTCCCGCGGGCAACACGCCAACGCACGCGACCGCACGCACGGAGCGCAGGCTCGTGTATCACGTGATCGCTTTGACCAATCAGAGCGAGAGGAGCAGAGCGAAGCCGAAGCGAACGATTATAAAGCATTTTTTAAGACGGATTTTGAGCGAGAAAAAGTTTATGATCTAAAAATAAGTAAAAATCGCCACAAAATCCAACATTTTTGAAAGTTGTAGGTAGGGATGAGACATGATTTTCGAATAGTCGAATATTCGTCATACGTTAACATCGAATAGTAATTTTGAATAAAGACGTTTCCTAACCAATATTTCATGTACGGCATTCGGCCAGAAGGTGGCGCTAACAGACTGTAAAACTCCCTGTAGGCGCGGAGGACTAGGCCGAGTGTAGAGGCTGCTCCAGAATAACAGAAGAAGAAAACTTATCGATGCAGAAAGCAAGTAAAAGTTCCGTACGGTCGTTATTTACTTTGTTAAATGACAAAGGTTCAGTGTAAAATCTGTCAGGTGAATTTTCGAATAATAATCGAATAGCTGTCATTGATTTTCAAATAGTGTTTTTGGCTGCGTTCAGATGCACCTGAAGTGATCCCAAATCCGATTTTTTGTCTCTATGTTCCTGTATCTGATCTTTTAATGACGTCTGAACCACACAGATCTGATGTTTTCAAACATGACCCAGGACACTTGGATCTGTGCTCCTGAAACTGATCCATATCTGATCTTTAACATGTGACTTGAGTGTGAACAGTCAGGTCACATTCATCCACCTACACGTCATCAACAAGACACAAACGTCACTATTCTGCACTGAAGTAGAGAAAACTGTTCATGATCCATGTGACTGAAGTGAAGCACATCTCCACTCACCACAAAACACCACCACCAAAAACCTGCTCCTTCTCCTTCTCAATCTCCTCCTTAAAACAAGTCAGTTGTTCATGTTGTGGCTCCGGTACGAGAGGAACTTTAAAATCTCCAGGTGCTCGATGCTGCGTCCATGTTTGTTCAACTTGTGTAAACACAGAGACGCTCGCTGCGGTTGACGTCGTCGTGTCTCCAGTGTCACATGTGGGACACTTTTGGACCGTTTAATGTTCACACTGGAGTCACATACAAGTCACATTTAATTGGAAATGTGAACGACCTCGAAAAAACATCGGATTTCACCAAAAAATCTGAATTGAGCGTTAATCCCTGCAGTCTGAACATAGACTTTGTCAAATATTCACATCCCTAGTTGTAGGTCCCTGTCAGACGAACACGAGCAGTTTGTGTTTACGTTGCCTCTATAAGAAAAATCTTGTCTCGGCCCAGGGGATTTTTTTCGCTGTAGAACCAGTGAGAGTCTCTACGACGACTTGAGGCAGAAACAACAACACCCTGTCCAGTTATTTTAATAGATCCATGATACAGCGCTGAGGGGGTCAGGGGTCAGGCTCCTCCTTCTCCTCTTTTCTCATCTCTCCTTTCCTTTGCCTCCTCTCTAACCCTCCTCCCTCTGATTACTCTCTCCTACTTTCCTCTCCTCCTCCTCTCTCCTCTCCTCGTCCTCCCTCTGATCCCTCTCTCTGTCCTCTGTCTCTCAGGAGGCTCACGATGGGGAGGTGAACGCCGTGAAGTTCAGTCCAGGCTCGAGGCTCCTGGCGACGGGAGGAATGGACCGAAGAGTCAAACTCTGGGAAGTGATCGCAGGTACGACACGAACACACACACACGCACCTGAGGACCTGAGTGTGACTGGACTCACCTGAGGAGGACCTGAGTTTAAAATGTGGGCTTTGTGTTCCAGGTCATTGTGAGGCCAAAGGAGCTCTGACCGGGAGCAACGCAGGAATCACCAGCATCGACTTCGACAGCGCCGTGAGTCTAAACAACACTTTGGACCGCGCAGATTCACTTTATATTCAGACTTTTTTTTTTTGGACTGAACTGGAACTAGACCAGGACTAGACCAGGACTAGACCAGGACTAGACCAGGACTAGACCAGGACTAGACAAAGACCAAAGAAGCAGCTGAGAATGTTTTCAATCGCAAACGTTTGTCCTGGACGACAGAGATGACACAAACATCTACAGTCTAATACAGTTTGTTTTTTTAATGATTTAAAGTTGACTTTGTGTTTCTCGTTTGTCGTGTTTTTCTCTCAGGGTTCGTATCTTTTGGCCGCTTCCAACGACTTTGCGAGTCGCATCTGGACCGTGGACGACTCCAGACTCCGGGTCAGTTTCCTCTGAGAACTCTACACCTGCACTGTTTACTCCCCGCATGTAGCCCCGCCCAACTTTACCTTTAAACGCTGTTGTCTTCTTTGGCCACACCCACTTCACCTCTGAACACTAACACCTTATTTGGCCCCGCCCACTTTAAGATCATGTAAAGTTTTTTGTTTTGTTTTAGTTTTTTTGGTTTCAAATTAGTTATTTATATTTTATATTTTTATTTTATTTTTTTTTTTTTCAGGTTAGTTTTAGTTTTTCCAGTTTTATTTTTTATTTTATTTATTTGTTTATTTATTAGTTGTTGTTTTTTTTTTGTTTTAGGTTGTTTCTGTTTTTTTAGTTTTATTAGTTTATTTTTATTAATTTTTTTGTTATTTTAGGTTATTTTTGTTTATTATTTTTATTTTTTATTATAGTTTTAGTTTTTGTTTAGTTTTTTTTTTTTTCAGTTTTATTTATTTTATTATTTTTTTGTTTAATTTTAGTATTTTAGAAGTTTTTTTTTTTAAGTTTTAGTCTTTTAGTGTATTTAGTTTTTTTGTTTTGTTTTTAATTTTAACCAGTTTTATTTATTTATTTATTTATTTTTTGCTTTAATTTTTGTTTTTGTAAAAGTTTTTTTTTTTTTTTTTTTTTAGTCTTTTGTTGTTGTTGTTTTTGTAGTTCTTATTTTTTTTGTTTTAGTCTTTTAGTTTATTTAGTTTTAGTATTTTTAGTGTTTGTTTGGTTTTTTTTTTTTTGGTTTTATTTTAAGTTAAGTTTTAGTTTTTTGGTTTTAGTCTGTTTTAGTATTTTTCTTTTCTTTTCCGTTTCTTCCTCTGGTCTGTGATGTTGAAGTAAAAGGTCTGACCTCTGACCCCTCCTCTGGGACTCAAACTCCCATGAGCCTTTGCTCTGCTCCCAGCGTGCTCCAGCGCCGCTCGCTGGCTCAGGGCGCGCTCACAGCAACAGGAAGTGACATCACGGAGCACGCGGGGCCTGTACTCAGCTCCTATAGGCTCTGCCGTGATGAGGTCACTCCCCACAGACCAATCAGAGCGGAGGGAGAGGCCGAGGGGCGGGGCCTGAGCTGTGATCTGACGTTTTCACTGAGACCAGAAAAATAAATACACACATTTACACTTTTATAAATATATATATCACTTTTTTTCTCCTGATCTGTGTAAATGGGTCTAAAATAGAAGTGTGTCTTAGTTTTTTTTTGTTTTGTTTTGTTTTTAAGATTTTTTTTTTTTTTCATTTTATTTCAGAGATTTTTTAGTTTACTTTTATTTATTATTATTTTTATTTTTGTGATTCTAGTTTACTTTTAGTTGTTTTTTTTTTATTTTAGTAATTTTAGTTTTTTTTATTTTAGTGATTTTAGTTTGCTATTTTTGTTTTTTTGTAATTTTTTATTTTATTTTAGTGATTTTAGTTTTTTTTATTTTAGTGATTTTAGTTTACTTTTTAGTTTATTTTGTTTTTTATTATTTTTTTTATTTTTGTGGTTTTAGTTTACTTTTAGTTTTTATTTTTATTTTAGTCATTTTATTTTTTTTCAGTTCAATTTTTAAATGTTTAAGTATTTTTATTTTAAATCCCCAAAGTGTCTCTGTTCCTCTGCACACTCTGTTCCTCTGCACACTCTGACCCTCTGCACACTCTGACCTCTGCACACTCTGACCCTCTGCACACTCTGACCTCTGCACACTCTGACCCTCTGCACACTCTGACCTCTGCACACTCTGTTCCTCTGCACACTCTCTGCACACTCTGACCCTCTGCACACTCTGTTCCTCAGCACACTCTGACCGGTCACAGTGGGAAGGTTCTGGCCGCTCGTTTCCTCCTGGACAACGCTCGAATCGTCTCCGGGAGCTACGACCGAACGCTCAAACTCTGGGACCTGAAGAGCAAAGTCTGTACGTCACTTTATTCTACCGACGAGTGTTCAGACTCATGCACGGTACTTCTACACACATGTGCGGTCAGAGTTTCACATGTGAGATTCTGGTCTTGAAGAAACCTCCAGACTTGTCCTCCTCAGATGTTTCTGCTTCTCGTTCTGTGTTCGGGTTCAGATCCACAAACTCGTCACATTAATGTTCTGGTGTAAACTTCCTTCAGCTGAAACAGTCTCGTCTTTTGAGGTTGAATAATGACTCCACTTTCTGAAGTCGCCGTGTAAAAATCCTGACTTTAGTTGATTTATCCTGACGGACGATGTTCGTTCTGACTCAAGACTTCGTATCTTCGTTCTGATAAAAGACACTGTACGTTCGTTTGTTCTGATAAGACTTCGTACGTTCGTTGGTTCTGACAGAAGACTCTGTACGTTTGTTCTGATTGGAGACTCTGTACGAAGAAAAAGAAAAGGTAAAGTGCTTCACTGGGTCTTTGAAGAGTAAAAAAACATCAGTACAGGTCTACGAGGGTTAAAACGGTGGTCTTAGAACAGAAAGTTACTCTTACTGAAAAATGTAAGAATGGGTAAAGTACAAACCCGAGGCTCCGACTGAATATATTAAAAGTTCTTTATTACATGAAGAGACGCCAACGGGTTTTGACCAGCACGATGGTCTTCGTCAGGGCAAAGTGGTCACCACTTTACCACACACGCAATAAAGAACTTTTAATATATTCAGTCGGAGCCTCGGGTTTGTACCTTACCCATTCTTACATTTTTCTGTAAGAGTAACTTTCTCTTCTAAGACTCTGTTCGTTGGTTCTGACGTTCTGACGAGAGACTTCGTACGTTGGTTCTGACGAGAGACTTTGGTCGTTGGTTCTGACATGAGACTTTGTTCGTTGGTTCTGACATGAGACTTTGTACGTTGGTTCTGACGAGAGACTTTGGTCGTTGGTTCTGACATGAGACTTTGGTCGTTGGTTCTGACATGAGACTTCGTACGTTGGTTCTGACATGAGACTTCGTACGTTGGTTCTGACGGGAGACTTTGGTCGTTGGTTCTGACATGAGACTTTGTTCGTTGGTTCTGACATGAAGACTTCGTACGTTGGTTCTGACGGGAGACTTTGTTCGTTGGTTCTGACGTGAGACTTTGTTCGTTGGTTCTGACGAGAGACTTTGGTCGTTGGTTCTGACATGAGACTTTGTTCGTTGGTTCTGACATGAGACTTTGTACATTGGTTGTGTTTCTCAGGTATGAAGACGGTGTTCGCCGGCTCCAGCTGTAACGACATCGTGTGCACGGAGCAGTGTGTGATGAGCGGCCATTTTGACAAGAAAGTCCGATTCTGGGACATCAGGTCAGACACACACACACACACACACACACACACACACACACACACACACACACACACACACACACACACACACACACACACACACACACACACACACACACACACACAAAACAGGTCTGAGAGTATAGTTGTGTTGTGTTGTGCGTCAGGTCGGAGAGTATAGTTCGGGAGTTGGAACTTCAGGGCAGAGTGACGTCGTTGGACTTGAACCACGACAGAACAGAGCTGCTCTCCTGCTCCAGAGACGACCTGCTCAAGATCATCGACCTGAGGACCACCGCCGTCAGACAGACCTTCAGGTACTACTACTACTACTACTAAATACTACTACTAATATTACTCCTAATGTTACTGTCTACTTAAATGTTCGTATGAACTCGCTCTCCAGGATCCTGGGGCTTTTATTTCAACATTTTGTTTTTAAATTCCTTTTCCTAATACAGAACTTTGCCCCAAATTCACTGTTCTAAACCACAGCCTCGATGAGCTTCATTTGACTGGACACAGACTGTGGACAGACGTGGACCATGTTCTGTTTTCTGTTTTTAATGTGCTCTTTTCTGTTTTCTCACATGTGTGTTTGGTTTCAGTGCCCAGGGTTTTAAATGTGGAGCCGACTGGACCAGAGTCACCTTCAGGTCAGAAACTCGTCACTTTAAACACCATTTAATCACACGTTTTATTTCTCTGATGTCACAACACTGACACAGTTTAGAGCGAGTCACATCTGTGGAAGATGATTTGTTTCATCAGATTTTGTATTTTAAATCCCGCTGAACTGAAAAAACAACGGTGTTTTAAATATTTGTATTCAGAATTTTAGTTACTGAACTTTTAAATCTACTTTTTTAATGTTTGAAATTCAGAATAAAAATTTCAATTAAAATCCAAAAGTGCAAAAAATTCTGAGCAAAAATCCAATAAGCCGTTTTCATCTGTGGGCGGAGTTTGAGGGTTTGATGAGGTGAATTCAGACCAATCAGATCGCTCCGCTGTTTGTTTGTTAAATTGGATCAACTCTGGATCGATGTTTCTGTTTCGGCGTCTCGGATCTTTGCTGCGAATTTTTACTCTGAATTTTGACGCTTGAATTTGAGGAAATGAAAATGTCTGTGCTGAATATTTAAACAATTAAAAATTATTATTATTTTACACACTTTGAATTATGTTTATTCAGAATTTTAGTTGCTGAAATTTTAAGTGTTCATTTTTTCAGAGAGTAAAATTCAAAATCTGATTGAACAAATGATTTTCACACAGAATCACATCAGCACAATCCACAGGTCGATGGTATTTCCTCTTTTCTCACTCTGGTGTTTGTTGTTTGTTGTTTTTCTGTAGTCCTGATGGCAGTTATGTGGCCGGCGGCTCAGCAGACGGAGCTCTGTACGTGTGGAACGTGCTCACGGGGAAAGTCGACCGAGTCCTCGACAAGAACCACAAGTGAGAACCAACGAAACACAAAAGAACAAACTCGTGAAACTGAGAAAAAAACAAACTGTTTGTGTTTGTTTCAGTTCTGCCATAAACTCGGTGTCGTGGTCTCCGTCGGGCGCGTACGTGGCGAGCGTGGAGAAGGGCAGCCGCGCCATCCTCTGGTCCGACATGTGACCGGCGCCGACCAATGGGGACGCGGCGCCGCTCAGAGACTGAATGTGATTGGACGTTTGTGTTTTAAACGAACTGTGTCTGACGTCTGTGAATCTGCTCCAATAAACAAAAGATTTATTTATGTCCCACCCGACGCCTGCCGTGTGTCACTCTGCAGGGCCGCACCTGTCCACCTGTCCACCTGCTGTGTGTCAGTCTGCAGGGCCACACCTGTCCACCTGCCGTGTGTCACTCTGCAGGGCCGCACCTGTCCACCTGTCCACCTGCTGTGTGTCACTCTGCAGGGCCGCACCTGTCCACCTGTCCACCTGCCGTGTGTCACTCTGCAGGGCCGCACCTGTCCACCTGCCATGTGTCACTCTGCAGGGCCGCACCTGTCCACCTGTCCACCTGCCGTGTGTCACTCTGCAGGGCCGCACCTGTCCACCTGCCGTGTGTCACTCTGCAGGGCCGCACCTGTCCACCTGCCGTCTGTGTGTGTGTGTGTGTGTGTGTGTGTGTGTGTGTGTGTGTGTGTGTGTCTGTGTGTGTGTCTGGGTGTGTGTGTGTGTGTGTGTCTGGGTGTGTGTGTGTGTGTGTGTGTGTGTGTGTCTGTGTGTGTGTGTGTGTGCTGTGTGTGTGTGTGTGTCTGTGTGTGTGTGTGTGTGTGTGTGTGTGTGTGTGTGTCTGTGTGTGTGTCTGTGTGTGTGTGTCTGTGTGTGTGTGTCTGTGTGTGTGTGTGTGTGTGTGTGTGTGTGTGTGTCTGTGTGTGTGTGTGTGTGTGTGTGTGTGTGTGTGTGTGTGTGTGTGTGTGTGTGTGTGTGTCTGGGTGTGTGTGTGTGTGTGTGTGTGTGTGTGTGTGTGTGTGTGTGTGTGTGTGTGTGTGTGTGTGTGTGTCTGTGTGTGTGTGTGTGTGTGTGTGTGTGTGTGTGTGTGTGTGTGTGTGTGTGTGTGTGTGTGTGTGTGTGTGTGTGTGTGTGTGTGTGTGTGTGTGTGTGTGTGTGTGTGTGTGTGTGTGTGTGTGTGTGGGAGCCTGCAGGAGGCGCTGGTGCGTCGCTCGTCTGTCGCTCGTCTGTTTTCTGCACGCGCTCAGTGGGACGTAGAGGTTAAAGTTCGGGTTAGTTGTTGTTCAAGTTTCTCTTCAGTTTTTCCGACACGATTCACAGAAAATGACCTGGAAATGAAAGATTTGACCTTTTGTTGTAAACCTGCACTTCCTTCTGTCTGAGTCTGGAGCTGAACAAACTGAAGCTGAGTCGAGTCGTCACGTTTCCCTCGAGCGACTTTCACCTGGACTCCAGACGTGAACTTTCTCAGGTGGAAGTTTCAGTTTGAAACGTTTTACAGATGTGACTTTTCTTTTGTGAAAACTGTAACATGTTTTAAACTCGTCTCAAACAGCTGGACTCCTGTTTGTTTCTTTCACATGTTTCATTCTTTGACTTTGTTTACGTCTCTAAACTCTGTTGTAGTTTGTAGTTTTCAGGTGAACAGTTCTTTTCCGTTTACGCTGCGTCCAGACGTCGGTGTCGCGGCGTCGTGTCGCGGCGTCGTGTCGCGGCGTCGTGTCGCGGCGTCGTGTTCACGTGCAGGAGTCTGACACGGCGTCCTGGACGTCCTGGGTTTTTGTGACGCGTCTTGAGTTTTCAGGCATCGACGTTCTAGAGCCAAGATCAACACTTCTGACATAAACAGTTCTGCTTTTTCAACTTCTGATGTCTGAAGCGCCGCGTCAGCCAATCAGAGACGAGTATCCAGAGACGCAGCGACGTAATTATCCACAAGAAGAAGAAGAAGAAAGAGCCGAGAACCACAAACACCAGAAGAAGAAACTCTACAGAGAGTCCATTAAAGGAAGATGAATATAAACACAGCGACGATACTGACGAGTTTGAGTCATAGAAACAGTAGATTCACTTTGGGCGACCGCAGCGACGCTCTGACATGTGAAGTATTTTTCTTCTGTTGTTCGCGGCGTCTGAACTCAAACACAAAAACTCCAACCGCAGTCGACCAGAGTCGACTCTGTCTGAACACAGCTTCAGCTCAGTCGAGATCCACGACTCCACGACTGAAACGATCCACGTGCTGATTCTAGTGAAGGTGTGTGGAGTTTAAAAACACAGTGGAGCTCTTCCTGTATCACCACATGATGACATCACAAGGTGTTTTTGTTGGAGAAGAACTCGGCCTGAATCTGCAGGTTTGTGTGTTTAAGTTTGTAGAGACGAAAGAGAAACACAGAGACAGTTTGTCCTGAGAAGTTGAGCAGGAAAAAAGACAAACACCAACTCCTCTCTTCTTCCTCTTTCCTCTAAAATCACTCTTGTTTAGTCGTGTTCAGAGTTTCTGTTTCGTGTTTCGTCTCTCGTCTCGTTCGTCTTTAGATCCTTCGTCTGTTTCAGTCGCTCCGTCGCTGGAAGAATCTCCAACAATCTCCAGAGACAAAAGTCCAAGACTCGACCACACTGTGCTTGAAGGTTGTATAGAGGATTTTTTAAGGGAAGAGAAATACAGCGACAGTTCTTCTGCCTGCGTGACCCCACCTCCCTCCTCCACAGCTCCTCAGTAGAAACTTCTCCTTCCACCTCTTTACTCTACAAATCATGTTTGTTTCCAGCCAGTGCGCGTCCAGAATCACTGTTGAAGTTTCCTGTCTAGAAATAATTTATCAACCGACGCGTCAGTTTTTAGACCCTTCGTCTGCTTCAGTCGCACCATCGCTGGAAGGAATCTCCAAGAATCACCTCAGTTTGTCTTTGCTCCTTTTCCTCTTCTCTTCTTCTTCCTCAAAAACCGACTTTCTTTTGCGGTGAACTGGTCGTGGATTCTCGTCCGACATCACAACAAACTTTGTATGAACTGTGAGGAAGCGACAGTTTGAAAAAGCCTCTAAGAACCGCTGCATAAACCACATAATCCCTGCGCTCCGGCGAGTCACTTACACTAAAAAGGTTGTCAATCAAACTCCTTACATAACAGCCAATAGATAAAGAGGAAGCCTCGTTTTCTATTGGCTGATGTTTATCTGACCTCAACATGTCCGCAGTTGATAGATTTTCATTATTTTTTTTGGTCATAATTACAAAGCTGCTGCGTCTCTTTAATGGTATTTTAAATTTTCATTGACAATTTGAAACTAAAAAAAAAGAATCCCCCATACAACCTTTAAACTCCACATTTGTCTCTTTGTAAATAATTTGTGAAACTGTAACAAAACATAAATGTGTTTTTATAAACTCAACAAACGTCGTTCATGGAAATTCAAACTCGTTGGTTGTTCCGCACGTGTTGCTCTAAGATGATCTTGATTTGTTTAAATGTCGTTCTGGATTTTCTACACGACCAAAGAAAATATTTGTGTTACTGAGCAGATTTTCAAAATAAACCGGGACGTCTCGGTTTGTGGAGCTCGATAAAACGGAAAATAGTGAAACGAATGTGAAAAGAAGGAAAACTGTTCACGATGAACTCGAGTCACTTTAGTCACATTTTCTTTGTGTTTTTAAGCAGATTTTTATTTATTTATTTTTTGGTCGGTTTTGTTTAAATCTGTGGGACGTGGACACAGACTCAGGAAACATGGACGTGTCTGTATTTGTGCCAATAAAATAAAAGTCTGATCATTCTGTCTTAAAACAGGACGGAGCTGATCATGTTTTCAGTGCGTCACATATTTGTTCTGTTTTTTTTACCGTGTTTATCACAAGAAACAACACGACGACATAAAACGGGTTGAAGTCGAGGACAGAGACGCGTCGACGATGATGAAGAACAGGATGTTTAAAACCGACAAGAGCGTCCACTAGAGGGCGAGAATCCACAGAAACATCAGGTATGTCACAGTTAACAGAGGAACCAGGACTAAACCAGGACTAAACCAGGACTGAACCAGGACTGAACCAGGTCTAAACCAGGACTAAACCAGGACTGAAACCAGAACTGAACCAGGACTAACCAGGTAAACCAGGACTGAACCAGGAAACCAGGACTGAAACCAGGTCTAAACCAGGAACTGAACCAGGACTAAACCAGGTCTAAACCAGGACTGAATCAGGACTAAACCAGGTCTAAACTAAACCAGGACTGAAACCAGGAAACCAGGACTGAACAGGACTAAACCAGGACTAAACCAGGTAAACCAGGAAGGACTAAACCAGGTCTAAACCAGGTCTAACTAACCAGGACTAAACTCAGACTAAACCAGGACTAAACCAGGACTAAAACCAGGTCTAAACCAGGACTGAATCAGGACTAAACCAGGACTAACTAACCAGGAAAAACCAGGACTAAACCAGGTCTAAACCAGGACCAGGACTAAACCAGGAAACCAGGACTAAACCAGGTCTAAACCAGGACTGAACAGGAAACCAGGACTAAACCAGGACTGAACCAGAACCAGGTCTAAACCAGGACTAAACCAGGAAAACCAGGACTAAACCAGGTCTAAACCAGGACTGAAACCAGGACTAAACCAGGACTAAACCAGGTCTAAACCAGGACTAAACCAGGAAATCTAAACCAGGACTGAAACCAGGACTAAACCAGGTCTACTAAACCAGGTCTAAACCAGGACTGAACCAGGACTAAACCAGGTCTGAACCAGGACTAAACCAGGTCTGAACTGGACTAAACCAGGTCTAACCAGGACTGAAACCAGGACTAAACCAGGACTAAACCAGGACTGAACCAGGTCTGAACCAGGTCTGAACCAGGACTAAACCAGGACTAAACCAGGACTGAATTGGGACTAAACCAGGACTGAACCAGGTCTAAACCAGGACTAAACCAGAACTGAACCAGGACTAATCTTGGACTTGAGAGAGAGAAGCCCCAGCCTGTGGAGCAGGGTGTCCACAAAACGTGATGGAGTGACGGGTGTGTGGAGCTGTGTGCCGGTCCTTTCGCCCGCGGTCACCCAACAGTCTACACGGGCGCACTGTTTCGTCTTGGTTTAGTCCTGGTTCAGTCCTGGTTCAGTCCTGGTTTAGACCTGGTTCAGACCTGGTTCAGTCCTGGTTTAGTCCTTTAGTCCTGGTTTAGTCCTGGTTTAGTCCTGGTTTAGACCTGGTTTAGTCCTGGTTCAGTCCTGGTTTAGTCCTGGTTTCAGTCCTGGTTCAGTCCTGGTTTAGTCCTGGTTCAGTCCTGGTTCAGTCCTGGTTTAGTCCTGGTTTAGTCCTGGTTTAGTCCTGGTTTAGTCCTGGGAGTTTCACATTTGAGGATTATGTTTCTAATCGCTCGTCTGCTGATCAAACTAAAGCTGGATTATGGAACTTTCGCCTCAGCATCTCCACACGCAGTACTGCCCCGCTCGAAGTACTACGCACTCAAAGTACTGCCCCGCTCGAAGTACTACGCACTCAAAGTACTGCCCCGCTCGAAGTACTACGCACTCAAAGTACTGCCCCGCTCGAAGTACTACGCACTCAAAGTACTGCGCAGTACTCGCCCGAACTCTGAACACGTCTGCTCCCGCCTCAGGTGAGACACCAGACTTTAAAGTGAAAGTTCCACAGTGAGACTTTAAACCTTTCCGTCTCCATGGAGACCGAACCAGACGCAGTCACGGGTCAGATCTGTGGAGCCTCGGTTTCTCTCCTGTTTCTGATCCTGTGATTGAATAAATGTAAAGTGGAGCCGTTTTAAAGTCACACTGCGGAACATTTCAACAAACAGATGATGGAGCCAAACCAGAAAGTTCCACAGTGCAGCTTTAAAACACAAACGAGGACTCGGACCATAAAACAAGGAGGCGACTTGCAGGTCGAGAACTGGACTCGAGTCAGACTTGAGTCGCTGTTTTTAGGACTCGAGACTCGGCTTGAAAAAATGGACTTAAGACTTTGGACTCGACTCGGACTTGAAGGTCCGAAACATTTAAACATTTTGTTTTTAAATGTTTTTTTCTACAATTTTTATACAAATACTCAAATAGAAATAAACCAGGACTTTTTCAGAACAGTTTAATTGAAAATTCACAGAAATTGCAGAAATCTAAACTGTATTTGGTACTTTGGTTTAAAGATTTGAAATGACTTGAAACTCAAAGCAGACGACTCGGACTTGACTCGGACTTGACTCGGACTTGACTCGGACTTGAGACTTGGTCCGTCCTCTGCAGATGATTTAAATGTTGAGTTGAATTATCGTATGAAAGTGAAAGTGAAAGTGAAAGTGCGTCGCTGCTTCGTTTTGTGCTGTTGTTGTTTCGTCCAGCAGAGGGCGCAGTGAGACGAGCTCTGCGGGGTGATTCTGTTTCATGTTGAACTTTTACATTTAAATAAATCTGTTTATGTAAAAACAACGTCACGACTGAGTAAATGAAACGAGGAGCTTTTGTTTGAAGCAATGTTACATTTGTACATTTTTCACATGATCAGGTTTTTAACGACGAACTGAAGAGAAACGAGAGAAACACAAATGAGACGGATTAAAATTTGACAAACGAAACTTTACTCTCACCAAATAAACCTCACGTGTGTGAAGTTCACAGAGACGTCAGTGTGGGACTCGTGAGTTTATTCTGAGTTTTAACCGAGAAAAACATTTTAAAACTTGAACAGTTTTTTTTTTTTCTGTGAATATTTTGGTCGAACAGGAAGTGACATCACAGTGACGTCATGAGCTCCAAACGAGTCGTCTTCAAAAAGGTCTCCCGCGACAAATCTGTGAGTCACTCTGACCTCTGACCCCTGTGACCCCTGCCCCCCCCGCCCCCCCTGTGCTCGTGTGCGTGAGGGCATCTGGTGTAATTCTCTGTGTGTTTCAGTTGACCGTGTATCTGCCCAAGAGAGACTTTGTCGACCACTGTGATTATGTCGACCCAGTGGGTGAGTCACACAACCCCCCACACACACACACACACACACACACACACACACACACCCGTGACTCTGTGGCTCTTTGTGGCTCCCTGTGGCTCCGTGTGGCTCATGTGTTTTGTTTTTCAGAGGGGGTGGTGGTGATTGATCCTCAGCAGCTCAAAGGAAAAAAAGGTAAAAAAGTTAAGTTTATTTTTGTTTATTTTGTTTATTTGACAGAAACTGCGACTCTGATTGGCTCTCTCGCTCTCTCCTCCGCTCTGATTGGCTCTCTGGCTCTCTCCTCCGCTCTGATTGGCTCTCCGTCTCTCTCCTCTGCTCTGATTGGCTCTCCTCCTCTCTCCTCTGCTCTGATTGGCTCTCCGGCTCTCTCCTCCGCTCTGATTGGCTCTCCGTCTCTCTCCTCTGCTCTGATTGGCTCTCTCCGTCTCTCTCCTCCGCTCTGATTGGCTCTCCGCCTCTCTCCTCCGCTCTGATTGGCTCTCGGGCTCTCTCCTCCGCTCTGATTGGCTCTCTGGCTCCCTCCTGGGCTCTGATTGGCCGCAGTGTACGTGATGTTGGCGTGCACGTTCCGGTACGGTCGTCAGGGCGAGGAGGTGATGGGCGTGGCCTTCAGGAGGGACCTGCTGGTGGTGACTCGGCAGGTTTTCCCCGAGCTCCAGGACAAATCCCGACTCGTCCACTCCAGGGTCCAGGAGAAACTCGTCCGGAAGCTCGGGGACTACGCCTTCCCCTTCTTCTTCGAGGTGAAGAACTCTGACCCTCTGACCTCTGACCTCTGACCCTTCTGACCCTCTGACCTTCTGACCCTCTGACCTTCTGACCCTCTGACCTTCTGACCTCTGACCTTCTGACCCTCTGACCCTCTGACCTTGACTTTCTGACCCTCTGACCTTCTGACCTTCTGACCTTCTGACCTTGACCTTCTGACCTTCTTGTTTCTTGTTCCTTGTTTGTTGTTTGTTGTTTCTGCTGATGTTCTGGAGGAGCAGAGGATTGTGGGAGTTGTAGTTTTGACTCTTTGTGTTCAGTTTCCAGATAATCTGCCGTGTTCTGTGGCTCTGCAGCCCGGACCCACCGACCAAGGCAAGGTGAGAGAGAGAAACGAAAGAGACGAAAGAAAGAGAAAGAAAAGAGAGAAAGAAAAGAGACAAGAGAGAGAGAAGAGAGAGTAAAGAGAAAGAAAAGAGAGAGAGAAGAGAGACAAAAGAAAAGAGACAAAACAAAAGAGACAAAACAAAAGAAAGAGGAGAAGAGAGAGAAAAGAGAAGAGAAAAGAGACAAAAGAAAAGAGAGGCAAGAGAGAGAGAAACAAGAGAGAGAAGAGAAAAGAGAGAGAAGAAAGATTAAAGAGAAAGAAAAGAGAAACGAGAGAGGAGAGAGAGTAAAGAGAAAGAAAAGAGAGACAAAAGAGACAAAAGAAAAGGAGAGAGACAAAAAAGAGAGAGAAACAAAAGAGAGAGAAGAGAAAAGAGAGAGAAGAAAGATTAAAGAGAAAGAGAGAAGAGAAAGAAAAGAGAGAGAGAAAAGGAGAGAGAAAAAGAAAAGAGAAATAAAAGAGACGAGAGTCAAAAGAGAGAAGGAAAAGAGAGAAGAAAGAGTAAAGAGAGAAGAGACAGAAAAGAGACAAAGAGAGAGAAAAAAGAGAAGAGAAAAGAGAGGGAAAATAGAGAGAAAAGGAGAGAGAAAGAAAGTAAAGAGGGAAGAAAAAGAAAAGACAAAGAAAAGAGAGAGAAAAGAGACAAAAAATAGAAAAGAGAGGAAAGAGAAAAGAGAAAGAAAAGAGACAAAAAAAGAGAGAAAAGAGAAGAGAAAAAAGAGAGAAAAGACGACGAGGGTTTGAGAATCCGTGTGTCGTTTGTTCATTCAATTTTCAAAATTAAACCAAAGAAAAGAAAAAAATTAAATAAAAAAATCTTCATTATTTGTCTCCAAAACCAAAATGAAAAAACAGAAAATGATTCAATTTTTCAGTTTTTGATTTTGTGTTTAAATGAAAAACGGACTGAACCGTTTTCAGTCCGGGCCTCAGTCCTGGTCTGGTTCTGGTCTGGTCCTGGACCTGTTTTAGTCCAGGTTCAGTCCAGGTTCAGTCTCTGATCCGATTTTTTTCCATTTTTCATTTAAACACAAAATCAGACGTCATAAACACTTTCTCTTTTTCTCACACTCGTCTCTGAAGTTTGAGTCTGAAAATGTTATGGGAGGAGCCTCGTACTGTCTGTGCTGGAGGGAGGGGCAGAGTGGGAGGAGCCTCGTACTGTCTGTGCTGGAGGGAGGGGCAGAGTGGGAGGAGCCTCGTACTGTCTCTGCTGGAGGGAGGGGGTGGAGTGGGAGGAGCCTCGTACTGTCTCTGCTGGAGGGAGGGTGCACAGTGGGAGGAGCCTCGTACTGAATCAAAATGCTGTGAATCATTGAACCAAATGAACTAAAAACACTAAAACACACATAGAAGCTTTAAAGTTGTCGTGTGTCGTGTGTGTGTGTGTGTGTCGCGTGTGTGTGTGTGTGTGTGTGTGTGTGTGTGTCGTGTTGTATTTTTCTCATCAGCAGAAAAAATTACAGTAGATTTTATTTTTTTTTGCATCTTAAAACTTATTGAAATCGTATCGATATCGTGACTCGTGTATCGAGATGTGGTGATCTGTTTACGGTGTGTGTGTTGTTTGTGTTGTTTACGTTGTTTACGGTGTGTGTTTTGTTTGTGTTGTTTACGTTGTTTACGGTGTGTGTGTTGTTTACGATGTTTACATTGTTCATGGTGTTTGCAGAAATGTGCGGTGGAGTTTGAGGTGAAGGCGTTTTGTGCCGATCAAAACGACGAGAAGACGGACAAACAGTGAGTGAAGTTTAAACTTTTCACATGTTTAACGACACGACTTTGACACGATGTTCCACCAAAAACACCTGAACTCTGCCGCACTGTGGGACTTTTCCACCTGCCTGTCGCCACGGAGACCGAAAAATATTCTTCTTGGGTCGTACGTTGGTCACGGTCACTGTCACCAGGGACTGTCCTGTTTTTGCTCTCGGTCCAGTCACAAGATGGCCGCCGCATGTCGCCACGGCAACAGAAACCTCGAAGGATTAAACTAACCTAGACTGTTCTGTTGCCGTGGCGATTGCGGCGGCCATCTTGTGACTGGACCGAGAGCCTGAGCTGACACTTTGACGTTGACGTCGTCCACATTCTCCGGGGGTGTGACGCTAACCAGAGGCACTGCTCTGTCTCAAACTCTGGTCCTCAACTCAGACTTTAATCTGAGTTTTGTTTAACACAATCTGAGCACAAAGATCTGATTTATCTGAACTCCAGCAGCTGATTAGCATTAGCGTTAGCATTAGCATTAGCATTAGCATTAGCATTAGCATTAGCATTAGCGTTAGCATTAGCATTAGCATTAGCATTAGCGTTAGCATTAGCATTAGCGTTAGCATTAGCATTAGCATTAGCGTTAGCATTAGTTAGCATTAGCGTTAGCATTAGCGTTAGCATTAGCGTTAGCATTTTAGCATTAGTCAACAGTTTTTCAGTCACTTTCACGTTTTAGCGTCAAATCAAACTCCTGAACAGAACCGCGACGCTCTGGTCACTCACACATGAACATGTCCAATTTAAATCATCTTCTTGAATTTTCAGACAAACTATTTTTTGTGAGCGAACTGCAGCTCCGTCCATACACACACATGTAGAACACCCCCAGTGTGACGTCACTGCAAAGAATCAACACTAATGTGTCTGTACATTTATGTTCAAAGATCACAGTCTAAACCCGGACTAAACCCGGACTAAACCCGGACTAAACCCGGACTAAACCCGGACTATACCCGGACTATACCCGGACTATACCCGGACTATACCCGGACTAAACCCGGACTAACCCGGACTAAACCCGGACTATACCCGGACTAAACCCGGACTATACCCGGACTATACCCGGACTAAACCCGGACTATACCCGGACTAAACCCGGACTAAACCCGGACTAAACCCGGACTATACCCGGACTAAACCCGGACTAACCCGGACTATACCCGGACTAACCCGGACTAAACCCGGACTAACCCGGACTAACCGGACTAACCCGGACTAAACCCGGACTAACCCGGACTAACCCGGTCTTGTCTGTGGTGCGTTCAGGAGCTCCGTGCGTCTGATGATCCGTAAAGTCCAGTTCAGTCCGGACTCTGTGGGTCCGGCTCCGGTCGCCGAGACGACGTTTGAGTTTCTGATGTCGGAAAAACCTCTGTATGTGAAACTGTCCCTGCCCAAAGAGGTCTGAACCTGGACTAAACCTGGACTAAACCTGGACTAAACCGGACTAAACCTGGACTAAACCAGGACTGAACCAGGACTGAACCAGGACTGAACCAGGACTGAACCTGGACTAAACCTGGACTAAACCTGGACTGAACCTGGACTAAACCAGGACTGAACCTGGACTAAACCAGGACTAAACCAGGACTAAACCAGGTCTTTCTTTCAGACCTTCTATCACGAGGAGCCGGTGAAGGTGAACGTGGAGATCAACAACTCCTCGAGCAGAAACATCAAAGACATCAGCCTGTCAGGTGTGTCAGGTCCCTCCCCGTGTGTGTCAGGTCCCTCCCCGTGTGTGTCAGGTCCCTCCCCGTGTGTGTCAGGTCCCTCCCCGTGTGTGTCAGGTCCCTCCCCGTGTGTGTCAGGTCCCTCCCCGTGTGTGTCAGGACCCTCGTCCCCGTGTGTGTCAGGACCCTCGTCCCCGTGTGTGTCCGGTCCCTCCCCCGTGTGTGTCAGGTCCCTCCCCGTGTGTGTCAGGTCCCTCCCCGTGTGTGTCAGGTCCCTCCCCGTGTGTGTCAGGTGCTCTCCCCGTGTGTGTCAGGTCCCTCCCCGTGTGTGTCAGGGCCCTCCCCGTGTGTGTCAGGACCCTCGTCCCCGTGTGTGTCAGGACCCTCGTCCCCGTGTGTGTCAGGTCCCTCCCCGTGTGTGTCAGGTCCCTCCCCGTGTGTGTCAGGTCCCTCCCCGTGTGTGTCAGGTGCTCTCCCCGTGTGTGTCAGGTCCCTCCCCGTGTGTGTCAGGTGCCCTCCCCGTGTTGTCAGGTGCTCTCCCCGTGTGTGTCAGGTGCCTCTCGTGTGTGTCAGGTGCCTCTCGTGTGTGTCAGGTGTGTCTGTGTGTCAGGTGCTCTCATGTGTGTCAGGTGCCTCTCGTGTGTGTCAGGTGCTGTGTGTCAGGTGCCTCTCGTGTGTCAGTGTGTGTCAGGTGCTGTGTGTGTCAGGTGCCTGTGTGTGTCAGGTGCCTCTCGTGGTGTGTCAGGTTCTGTGTGTCAGGTGCTGTGTGTCAGGTGCCTCTCGTGTGTGTCAGGTGCTGTGTGTCAGGTGCCAGTGTGTGTGTCAGGTGCCTCAGTGTGTGTCAGGTGCTGTGTGTCAGGTGCCGTGTGTCAGGTGCCTCTCGTGTGTGTCAGGTGCTGTGTGTCAGGTGCCGTGTGTCAGGTGCCTCTGTGTGTCAGTGTGTGTCAGGTGCCTCTCGTGTGTGTCAGGTGCCTCTCGTGTGTGTCAGGTGCCTCTCGTGTGTGTCAGGTGCTCTCGTGTGTGTCAGGTGCCTCTCGTGTGTGTCAGTCAGGTGCCTCTCGTGTGTGTCAGGTGCCCTCTCATGTGTGTCACGTGCCTCTCATGTGTGTCAGGTGCCATGTGTCAGGTGCTGTGTGTCAGGTGCCTCTCGTGTGTGTCAGGTGCCTCTCGTGTGTGTCAGGTGCTGTGTGTCAGGTGCCTCTCGTGTGTGTCAGGTGCCTCTCGTGTGTGTCAGGTGCCTCTCGTGTGTGTCAGGTGCCTCTCGTGTGTGTCAGGTGCCTCTCGTCAGGTGTGTGTCACGTGCCTCTCATGTGTGTCAGGTGCCATGTGTCAGGTGCTGTGTGTCAGGTGCCTCTCGTGTGTGTCAGGTGCCTCTCGTGTGTGTCAGGTGCTGTGTGTCAGGTGCCTCTCTGTGTGTCAGGTGCCTCTTGTGTGTGTCAGGTGCCTCTCGTGTGTGTCAGGTGCTGTGTGTCAGGTGCTGTGTGTCAGGTGCCTCTCGTGTGTGTCAGGTGCCATGTGTCAGGTGCCTCTCGTGTGTGTCAGGTGCTGTGTGTCAGGTGCCAGGTGTGTGTGTCAGGTGCCTCTCGTGTGTGTCAGGTGCTGTGTGTCAGGTGCCTCTCGTGTGTGTCAGGTGCTGTGTGTCAGGTGCCTCTCGTGTGTGTCAGGTGCTGTGTGTCAGGTGCCTCTCGTGTGTGTCAGGTGCCTGTGTCAGGTGCTGTGTGTGTCAGGTGCCTCTCGTGTGTGTCAGGTGCTGTGTGTCAGGTGCAGGTGCTCTCGTGTGTGTCAGGTGCTGTGTGTCAGGTGCTGTGTGTCAGGTGCCTCTCGTGTGTGTCAGGTGCTGTGTGTCAGGTGCCTCAGGTGTGTGTGTCAGGTGCCTCTCGTGTGTGTCAGGTGCTGTGTGTGTCTGTGTGTCAGGTGCCTCTCGTGTGTGTCAGGTGCTGTGTGTCAGGTGCCTCTCGTGTGTGTCAGGTGCTGTGTGTGGTGTTCAGGTGCCTCTCGTGTGTGTCAGGTGCCTCTCGTGTGTGTCAGTGTGTGTGTCAGGTGCTGTGTGTCAGGTGCCTCTGTGTGTGTGTGTGTCAGGCTGTGTGTGTGTCAGGTGCCTCTCGTGTGTCAGTGTGTGTGTCAGGTGTGTGTGCTGTGTGTCAGGTGCCTCTGTGTGTGTGTGTCAGGTGCTGTGTGTCAGGTGTGTGTCAGGTGCCTCTCGTGTGTGTCAGGTGCTGTGTGTCAGGTGCTGTGTGTCAGGTGCTGTGTGTCAGGTGCCTCTCGTGTTCATGTTCTTGTTGTTTTCAGTGGAGCAGGTCACAAACGTGGTTCTTTATTCCAACGACAAATACGTGAAATCTGTGGCCAAAGAAGAAACCACGTGAGTACGACACGAGGAACATCTGAAGGAACATCTGAGGGAACAACTGAGGGAACATCTGAGGGAACAACTGAGGGAACAACTGAGGGAACATCTGAGGGAACATCTGAGGGAACAACTGAGGGAACAACTGAGGGAACAACTGAGGGAACATCTGAGGGAAATCTGAGGGAACATCTGAGGGAACATGAGGGAACATCTGAGGGAACATCTGAGGGAACATCTGAGGGAACATCTGGGAACATCTGAGGGAACATCTGAGGGAACATCTGAGGGAACATCTGAGGGAACAACTGAGGGAACAACTGAGGGAACAACTGAGGGAACATCTGAGGGAACATCTGAGGGAACAACTGAGGGAACATCTGAGGGAACATCTGAGGGAACATCTGAGGGAACATCTGAGGGAACATCTGAGGGAACATCTGAGGGAACATCTGAGGGAACATCTGAGGGAACATCTGAGGGAACATCTGAGGGAACATCTGAGGGAACATCTGAGGGAACATCTGAGGGAACAACTGAGGGAACAACTGAGGGAACATCTGAGGGAACATCTGAGGGAACATCTGAGGGAACATCTGAGGGAACAACTGAGGGAACATCTGAGGGAACAACTGAGGGAACATCTGAGGGAACAACTGAGGGAACATCTGAGGGAACATCTGAGGGAACATCTGAGGGAACATCTGAGGGAACATCTGAGGGAACATCTGAGGGAACATCTGAGGGAACAACTGAGGGAACAACTGAGGGAACATCTGAGGGAACTGAGGGAACATCTGAGGGAACAATCTGAGGGAACATCTGAGGGAACAACTGAGGGAACATCTGAGGGAACATCTGAGGGAACATCTGAGGGAACATCTGAGGGAACAACTGAGGGAACTGAGGGAACAACTGAGAGGAAACATCTGAGGGAACAACTGAGGGAACATCAAACTGAGGGAACATCTGAGGGAACATCTGAGGGAACATCTGAGGGAACATCTGAGGGAAACAACTGAGGGAACAACTGAGGGAACATCTGAGGGAACATCTGAGGGAACAACTGAGGGAACATCTGAGGGAACAACTGAGGGAACAACTGAGGGAACATCTGAGGGAACATCTGAGGGAACATCTGAGGGAACATCTGAGGGAACATCTGAGGGAACAACTGAGGGAACAACTGAGGGAACAACTGAGGGAACATCTGAGGGAACAACTGAGGGAACATCTGAGGGAACAACTGAGGGAACATCTGAGGGAACAATCTGAGGGAACATCTGAGGGAACATCTGAGGGAACAACTGAGGGAACAACTGAGGGAACATCTGAGGGAACAACTGAGGGAACAACTGAGGGAACATCTGAGGGAACATCTGAGGGAACAACTGAGGGAACATCTGAGGGAACATCTGAGGGAACATCTGAGGGAACATCTGAGGGAACATCTGAGGGAACATCTGAGGGAACATCTGAGGGAACAACTGAGGGAACAACTGAGGGAACATCTGAGGGAACAACTGAGGGAACATCTGAGGGAACAACTGAGGGAACATCTGAGGGAACATCTGAGGGAACATCTGAGGGAACAACTGAGGGAACAACTGAGGGAACAACTGAGGGAACATGAGGGAACTGAGGGAACAACTGAGGGAACATCTGAGGGAACAACTGAGGGAACATCTGAGGGAACAACTGAGGGAACAACTGAGGGAACATCTGAGGGAACATCTGAGGGAACAACTGAGGGAACAACTGAGGGAACAACTGAGGGAACAACTGAGGGAACAACTGAGGGAACATCTGAGGGAACAACTGAGGGAACATCTGAGGGAACATCTGAGGGAACATCTGAGGGAACATCTGAGGGAACATCTGAGGGAACAACTGAGGAACAACTGAGGAACATGAGGGAACATCTGAGGGAACAACAGGGAACTGAGGGAACATCTGAGGGAACATCTGAGGGAACAATCTGAGGGAAACATGAGGAACATCTGAGGGAACAACTGAGGGAACATCTGAGGGAACATCTGAGGGAACATCTGAGGGAACATCTGAGGGAACATCTGAGGGAACAACTGAGGGAACATCTGAGGGAACATCTGAGGGAACATCTGAGGGAACATCTGAGGGAACATCTGAGGGAACATCTGAGGGAACAACTGAGGGAACATCTGAGGGAACATCTTCCGTCCTGGTGTAGTCCTGGTTTAGATCTTTGTTGTTCTAAACAAAACCGTTTAAATCAGTCGTTCAAACTGTTCTTCTCAGATCCTTTCTCCACGTTCTAGTCGTTTCTTCTCACGGCCTGGACGGTTTCAGATCTAAACTGAAGTTGTTGTGGTCCACAGAGACACGGTTCCGGCGGGTTCCTCTCTGAAACGGGAGTATTGTCTGTTTCCATCTCTCGCCCACAACAAAGAACGTCGAGGTTTGGCCCTGGACGGACGCCTGAAGCACGAAGACACCAACCTGGCCTCCTCCACCATGTGAGAACTTCTCTACTGACACGTCTGAGGGAACATCTGAAGCCTGGTTCAGTCCTGGTTTAGTCCTGGTTTAGTCCTGGTTTAGACCTGGTTTAGTCCTGGTTTAGTCCTGGTTTAGTCCTGGTTTAGTCCTGGTTTAGTCCTGGTTTCCTGGTTTAGTCCTGGTTTAGTCCTGGTTTTAGTCCTGGTTTAGTCCTGGTTTAGTCCTGGTTTTAGTTCTGGTTTAGTCCTGGTTTAGTCCTGGTTTAGTTCTGGTTTAGTCCTGGTTTAGTCCTGGTTTAGTCCTGGTTTTAGTCCTGGTTTAGACCTGGTTTAGTCCTGGTTTAGTCCTGGTTTAGTCCTGGTTTAGTCCTGGTTTAGTCCTGGTTTAGTCCTGGTTTAGTCCTGGTTTAGTCCTGGTTTAGTCCTGGTTTAGTCCTGGTTTAGTCCTGGTTTAGTCCCTGGTTTAGTCCTGGTTCAGTCCTGGTTCAGTCCTGGTTCAGTCCTGGTTTAGTCCTGGTTTAGTCCCTGGTTTAGTCCTGGTTTAGTCCTGGTTTAGTCCTGGTTTAGTCCTGGTTCAGTCCTGGTTCAGTCCTGGTTTAGTCCTGGTTTAGTCCTGGTTTAGACCTGGTTTAGTCCTGGTTCAGTCCTGGTTCAGTCCTGGTTCAGTCCTGGTTTAGTCTGGTTTAGTCTGGTTTTAGACCTGGTTTAGTCCTGGTTTAGTCCTGGTTTAGACCTGGTTTAGTCCTGGTTCAGTCCTGGTTTAGTCCTGGTTTAGTCCTGGTTTAGTCCTGGTTTAGTCCTGGTTTAGTCCTGGTTTAGTCCTGGTTTAGTCCTGGTTTAGTCCTGGTGTTTCTTTGTTCCAGAGTGAAGCAGGAGGTTCTGAAGGACGTCCAGGGGATGTTGGTCTCTTATAAAGTGGTTCTCAGGATGATCGCCTCCGGGTCAGTACCACCTGTCTGCACCTGTCTGCACCTGCCTGCCCCTGTCTGCACCTGTCTGCTCCTGTCTGCTCCTGTCTGCTCCTGTCTGCTCCTGTCTGCACCTGTCTGCTCCTGTCTGCTCCTGTCTGCACCTGTCTGCTCCTGTCTGCACCTGTCTGCTCCTGTCTGCACCTGTCTGCTCCTGTCTGCTCCTGCCTGCACCTGTCTGCTGCTGCTGCTGTCTGCTCCTGTCTGCTCCTGTCTGCTACCTGTCTGTCTGCTCCTGTCTGCTGCTCCTGTCTGCACCTGTCTGCTCCTGTCTGCTCCTGTCTGCTCCTGTCTGCACCTGTCTGCACCTGTCTGCTCCTGTCTGCACCTGTCTGCACCTGTCTGCTCCTGCTGCTGTCTGCTCCTGTCTGCACCTGTCTGCTCCTGTCTGCACCTGTCTGCACCTGTCTGCTCCTGTCTGTACCTGTCTGCACCTGTCTGCTCCTGTCTGCACCTGTCTGCACCTGTCTGCTCCTGTCTGCACCTGTCACTCGTCTCGTTCGTGTTTTTAATCTCTTCTTCTTCTTCTTCTTCTTCTTCTTCTTCCTGCTGTAGGACGGTTGGCTCCAGGTAAACGTCCTGTTCTTCCGTCTCCGTCCAGGAGGTGGCGCTGCTCCCGTCGTTTCCATGGAGATGTTATTGCTTTGTCCGGAATGTTCCACAGTACTGCCCGCGTGACAGGTCAGGTCTGTGGAGAGTCGCCGCCGCCGCTCGGCCCGAGTTTCCAGGACGCTGTCAGTGCAGGAGCGGCCATTTTAATGCAGCGCTGTGGAACATTGTTAACGGAGCGTGACATCTCCATGACGACGGGCAGGCGACGACGTACAGGCCGCCCTCCAGAAAACTAAACCGGGACTAAACCAGGACCCGGGACTGAACCGAACCAAGAACTGAACCAGGACTAAACCGGGACTAAACCAGGACCGGAAACCGGGACTAAACCAGGACTAAACCAGAACTGGGACTAGGACTAACTAAACCAGGACTAAACCAGGAACTGGACTAAACCAGGACTAAACCAGGACTACTAAACCAGGACTAAACCAGGACTAAACCAGGGACTAAACCAGGACTAAACCAGAACTAAAACCAGGACTAAACCAGGACTAAACTGGGACTTAAACCAGGACTAAAACCAGGAACTAAACCAGAAACTAAACCAGGACTAAACCAGGACTAAACCAGGACTAAACCAGAACTGAAACCAGGACTAAACCAGGAACTAAACCAGGACTAAACCAGGACTAAACCAGGACTAAAACCAGGTCTAAACCAGGAAACCAGGACTAAACCAGGACTAAACCAGGACTAAACCAGAACTAAACCAGAACTGAACCAGGACTAGACTGGGACCACACCGGGACTAGACCAGGACTACACCAGGTCTAAACCAGGTCTAAACCAGGACTAAAGCAGGTCTAAACCAGGTCTCAGTCCTGATCTCGTCTTGGTTTTAGTCCTGGTCTCAGTCCCCCTCTGGTCCCAGTTTGGTCCAAGTCTCAGTCCTGGTTTAGTCCTGGTTTAGTCTGGTTCAGTTCTGGTTAGTCCTGGTTTAGTCTGTTTTCTGTTTAGTCCTGGTTTAGTCCTGGTTCAGTTTTGGTTTTCTGGTTTAGTCCTGGTTTAGTCCTGGTTGTCCTGGTTTAGTTTGGTTTAGTCCTGGTTTAGTTGGTTTTAGTCCTGGTTTTCTGGTTTGCCTGGTTTAAAGTCCTCAAGTCCTGGTTTAGTCCTTTATCTGTTTTCATTTTGGTTTTGGAGACAAATAACAGATAATAATAATAATAATAATAATAATAATAATAATAATAATAATAATAATAATAATAATAATAATAAAATAAAATATATATATATTATATTTGTTTTTTTTAAATAAACACAGATTGTGATTCTTACTCTTGATAAAGTCGTGATAATAATTGAGCGTTTTTATTTGCAGTGACGTTTCCCTGGAGCTTCCCTTCAGACTCATGCATCCCAAACCCGACGCAGGTCAGTCTCCCCCTCACACACTAAAGCCGCGCTGTGGAACTTTCCCCCTCGTCTCCACGGAAACGCTGCTGCAGCTTCCGAGGGGACGAGCTGCTGTGGGTAAAGTCTGCGGAGAAGCGAGCCGCTGGAAATGAACCTGCAGCAGACGCCAGACAGAGCGAGACTATCGCCATGGAGACGAGCGGAAATGTTCCACAGTGCAGCTTTATTTACTGGAACTTTTGTTTTGTTTTTACATTGAATTCGTAAAGTTTCTGTTTTTTCTGTGATTCTGTTTAATTTATGTTTGTGTTTTTCTCCAACTGCAGCAAAAGAAAGGTACAGTATAAAACCAAGACCTGGTCTAGTCCTGGTTTAGACCCGGTTCAGTTCTTGGTTTAGTCCTGGTTTAGTCCTGGTTCAGTTCTGGTTCAGTCCTGGTTTAGTCTCTGGTTTTAGTCCTGGTTCAGTCCTGGTTTAATCCTGGTTTCAGTTCTTGGTTTAGTCCTGGTTTAATCCTGGTTTAAGTCCTGGTTCAGTTTCTTGTTCAGTCCTGGTTTCAGTCCTGGTTCAGTTCTTGGTTTAGTCCTGGTTCAGTCTGGTTTCAGTTCTTGGTTTAGTCCTGGTTCAGTCCTGGTTCAGTCCTGGTTCAGTTCTTGGTTTAGTCCTGGTTCAGTCCTGGTTTAGTCCTGGTTTAGTCCTGGTTCAGTCCTGGTTTAGTCCTGGTTTAGTCCTGGTTCAGTTCTTGGTTTAGTCCTGGTTTAGTCCTGGTTCAGTTCTTGGTTTAGTCCTGGTTTAGTCCTGGTTCAGTCCTGGTTCAGTCCTGGTTCAGTCCTGGTTCAGTTGGTTCTTGGTTTAGTCCTGGTTCAGTCCTGGTTTAGTCCTGGTTTAGTCCTGGTTCAGGTTTAGTCCTTGGTTTAGTCCTGGTTCAGTCCTGGTTTAGTCCTGGTTCAGTTCTGGTTTAGTCCTGGTCCTTGGTTTAGTCCTGGTTCAGTCCTGGTTTTAGTCCTGGTTCAGTCCTGGTTTCAGTTTTGGTTTAGTCCTGGTTTAGTCCTGGTTTAGTCCTGGTTTAGTCCTGGTTCAGTTCTTGGTTTAGTCCTGGTTCAGTCCTGGTTTAGTCCTGGTTCAGTCCTGGTTTAGTCCTGGTTCAGTCCTGGTTTTAGTCCTGGTTCAGTCCTGGTTTAGTCCTGGTTCAGTTCTTGGTTCTGTTGCAGTGATCCTGGTGATCTGGTTTTCGAGGACTTTAAACGAGTTTATCTCAAAGGCGTGATCGGAGACGACGACGACTCTGCCACTGAGGCCTGAGCGACGCCCCGCCCCCTCCGTACACAAGCCCCGCCCCTCACAAGCCCCGCCCCTCCGTACACAAGCCCCGCCCCTCCGTACACAAGCCCGCCCCCTCCGTACACAGCCCCGCCCCCTCCGTACACAAGCCCCGCCCCTCCGTACACAAGCCCCGCCCTCCGTACACAAGCCCCGCCCCTCTCTGTACACAAGCCCCGCCCAGTCTGAAGTCACATACCTCCTATTTAATGCCCCACAGAGTCTTTAATGCCCCACAGAGTCTTTAATGCCCCACAGAGTCTTTAATGCCCCACAGAGTCTTTAATGCCCCAGAGTCTTTAATGCCCCACAGAGTCTTTAATGCCCCACAGAGTCTTTAATGCCCCACAGAGTCTTTAATGCCCCACAGAGTCTTTAATGCCCCACAGAGTCTTTAATGCCCCACTGAGTCTTTAATGCCCCACAGAGTCTTTAATGCCCCACAGAGTCTTTAATGCCCCACATGTAGCGCCGCCTTTTGGCTGTAATAAATAAACTGCTCGTGTTGATTCACTTTTTGTGTTTTTTGTGTTTTTTTCTTAATAATGTTGCAAGATTTTTGGTTGATTTTTCCCCCGAGAGGTTCAGGTTTAGACCTGGTTTAGTCTGGGTTAGTACAAGTTTAGTCCAAGTTTGGTTAAAGTTTGGTTAAAGTGTAGTCCTGGTTTAGTCCTGGTTTAGTCCAGGTTTAGTCCAGGTTTAGTCAAGTTCAGTTCAAGTTCAGTTCAAGTTCAGTTCAAGTTTAGTTCAAGTTTAGTTCAAGTTTAGTTCAAGTTTAGTTCAAGTTTAGTTCAAGTTCAGTTCAAGTTTAGTTCAAGTTCAGTTCAAGTTTAGTTCAAGTTTAGTCCTGTCTTAGACCTGTTTTAGATCTGGTTTAGTTCTGTTTTAGTTCTGGTTTGTGTCAGATCAGTGATATTTTGTCATTTTAAGGATAAATCTGTGTTAGAATTATTAATTTTATTATTTAAAAATAAAAATTAAATAAATAAATATAATAATGATAAAATTATACATTTTATTTGAACATTTTCTTCTGTGACTCGGGCTCATGTTTGTGGAATTTTAAATCCCTCAGTTTCTTAAACTCTGAGTGAAAGTCAAAAACAAAACTCTGTCCCTTTGAAAGTAAAAAGAAAAACAAACTCTGTCTCAGTCAAAGTAAAAAAAACAAACAAAACAAAAGTCTGTCCCAGTGAAAGTCAAAAAAAAAAAAAATAAAACTCTGAGTGAAAGTAAAAAACCAAACTGTCCCAGTGAAAGTGGGACACAGACTGAGTTGCAGTGAAAGTGAGACACAAAGCGTTTCTGGGTGGGTAAGTCTTTATTTCACAGTGTGTCATGCAAACGTGATCAAATCTCACGAGGAAGAAAAAGTGGCCCAGTTCACAGACAAACCCGGACACGCCCACGCGCTCCTCACCGCCGCGTGGGAACCGGAGCCCCGCCCGTCCCCCGCCCGCCGACCCACGTACCGGCCCTGGGAACGAGGCTCCGCGGGGGCCCCCAGGGAGCGGCGGGCGCGGGACACAAAGCCTGTGGCCGGGCGGGGACGCGGCGGAGGGGCCCCGGAGAGCAGGGCGTTCCCCGACACAAAGGATGAACTAGATCGTGGGACGCTGTCTTTACAAACGGGAGCGGCGGCGGCGAGGGATGCGTTACGGTGTCGGTGTCCGGGAACACTCGGGGAGGGTCCGGGCGCAGCAGACCTCCACAGGGGACACGCACCGGCAGGACCCACCTCCACACGGCCCCCTCCACGTTCCTTTGGTTTACTTTAGAAAACAACTTCGTTACACATTTCCAGCAGATTTCATTTCTATCTTAGACTGTAAATCTAAATTAGTGCCGTCGGTCCATTCAAATATGTCATCGCGATTAATCCCGTGAATCCCGTCATCGTTAACTCGCGCACATTTTCGACTCCCGAATTGTCATTTTAATCGTCTTTTAGGCTTTGTGGAAATGTGTGTTTTTTTTTTTTTATCGCGTCTGTGTTTGTGACTCACACTTCGACGCGGCGCCGTTTGTTTACACGTGGAGCAGAGAAAAGAAGTCCAGCGGCACAAATGTCTGTTAAACAGCGAGACAGACCTGGTTTAGTCCTGTTTTAGTCCAGGTTTAGTCCAAGTTTAGTCCTGGTTTAGTCCTGGTTTAGTCCAGGTTTAGTTCAAGTTTAGTCCTGTTTTAGTCCAAGTTTAATCCTGGTTTAGTCCGAGTTTAGTCCAAGTTTAGTTCTGCTTTAGTCCAAGTTTAGTTCAAGTTTAGTCCTGGTTTAGTCCAATTTTAGTCCAAGTTTAGTTCAAGTTTAGTCCTGTTTTAGTTCTGGTTTAGTCCTGGTTTAGTTCAAGTTTAGTCCAGGTTTAATCCAGGTTTAGTCCACTTTTAGTTCAAGTTTAGTCCTTTTTTAGTCCAGGTTTAGTCCAAGTTTAGTTCAAGTTTAGTGCTGGTTTAGTCCTGGTTTTAGTCCAAGTTTTAGTTTCTGTTGAACGGCGAGACAGACGTGAGTCCTGCGGCGATTCGCTTCGACAGTTTCTGGAGATAAAAACCGTGATCGAC